ACAAATGTCAATCTTTGTGTTGATTCTCAATTCGTGCCTTGAATTCATTTTTCAGATCAATGTCTTTCAAACTGGCTGTATGAGGTGGATTTTCCAGGTAATGCATAGACTTAATCTCCTGACTCCCATTACTGAAAGAGCTGTGACTCTAAATCCCCCTGCAGCTGACCCCAAATTTACCCCCTGCTGCCTCAGAGCACCAACTAAATAATAAAAACCAAAATCATGGTCAGATGTAATTAGTTCAAGAGGAGAGTTTTATAATTTTCCTCATGCCAAGCAAACAAGTTAACCCTTCTGTTGACATACACAGGATAATTTGGACAAAGAGAACACAGATCTCAAATCTGAACAATGCTATTTGCCAGGGAAATATGTGCTCTTTTGGGACTGGGGAAATGAGGAAATAAACTCTGGTTCCCATTGGTTGGAAATGAAATTTGTGTTTATGGGTTTTTTTTTTCTTATATTAAAAAATGTCTTTCAAGACTCCAGTCGGTCCAGGTTTCATTGAAAATGTGATACATCTTAGAAAATATAATTCTGATATGATCAGACTCCAGCTGTGTACCAGGCAAAGCTGCCTAAAAGAGTCCTTGTTTGAGAGAGCTGGGCATTTCTTAGCCACTTCTGAAAAGTGTCAAGCTCAGTGATCCCTGGTGCAAGCAAAGCCAAGTCCCCTGTCCTGGCCATCTTAGGGATGAGGTGATTTCCTTGGCAATCTAGGGTTCCGCTTGGCTGATGAGGACATCAACTGAACTGTCCATCTGGAAACAGACCCTTTGAGCTTTTTCTCTGGACACATGTAAATTGTCTAAGATGGTGTAGTGAGGAAAAAACAAGGGTATTTGAACCTGAGGATATGGGTTAGATAATGTGAAGTAGTCATTTTGTTTTTGTGACTATTTCTGCTTCTGTATTTTAGTTTGGAGAGGAGGAGAAGGAAAAAAAAAGGAGATAAGAGTGAAAATGAGGTTAACGAAATTGGTTACTCAACCAAATATTCCAAATGTGATTTCCCATGCTGGTTTGAGTTGGAAAAATCTGGCACACAAGTTAGAGAATTAACTTGTGACATCAGAGAATGTAGCACAGTGTCCCAGGGCCACTCGTTGAATAGGCACCCATGTAGTCATCAGTATGAACTTGTTGCGTTTCCTATTCAGTATCCTCTGGACACTAAAGAACTAAAGACACTCTCTCTCTCTCTCTCTCTCTCTCTCTCTCTCTCTCTCTCACTCTGTGTGTGTGTGTGTGTGTGTGTGTGTGTGTGTGCGTGTATTGGGACATGGAAAAGATAAGCAATAAATTATAGTTGTAATGAAGAAAACATCCTTTTTTTTTCCATGAAAAACATTAGACTTTGCAATGATAATCCATGGGAGCCATGGTGTTCATGAAAACATTTGTGAAACAACAGGTTGCTTTTAAAGAGATGGGCTGTGAACCAGAATATTGATTTGAACGTTTTTCGATTCCAAAGTTTCCTTGTAAAAATATTATCAGAAATTGGTGGACATTTTTTACATATGACTCATTTTTCCTCTCATGTACAACATAAATCATTTAATGTAACATTGGCAACCTTAGAAAGGCAGACATTTAATCCAAGTCCGTTTATAAATTCCAATTTCACATGGATTAAAAACTGCAGATAAATTAAGTCACAATAATATCCTGTACATGCATTAAGGCTGGTGACCGCTGAAGTCTCTTGGGTATCTACAAACAGGAAATCACACACAGGTTACTGGGTCTGAGGAGTGTCTACATCATTAAAAAAATCTTGCTTTTTTTTTTTTTTTGGTGATACAGATTTCAACAGTAACTCTGGAAAACTGTGAAAAATGTTATTTAAAAATATATATGTATATGCTACTGCACAGTTTCAAAGATGTGATTCATAAATAATGCTGCTGCACTGATTAATTTTATAACAATGACTGCACTTCCAAGGTGATGTGAACACGCAGTGACTTATACTCAATCTTAGGCACTAGTAATATCCGTCAGTTGTACTACAGTTTTATGATAGCTGTATTGTACATATATATTTTTAAATGTATGCATTTGTACAAACTGCATATATTATGTATGGGGTGTTGGAAATGTACACATCACTGTTATATAATACACATATCATTGTTGTACATTTTAGGTAAGTTTTAGTGCAGAAAGTCTCATTGCATTCCATTCCATGTGTTCAATGTAGTACACAATTTGTCAACTCTTCAGATTATTTTTCCAGTACATTCCTCTTTAGACAGGGTCCAAGTTTCCACTTACAATTTGAAAGCTTCCAGAAATATCTATTTTAACCAAACCTCTCTCTCCAGGCACAATTCTGCACATGAGTCTGATCTGTAAGTTTGATCAGGAATATATTTGGGCTACTCCTCTCTTTCAAAGATAATTCTAATGTGATAAAGGATAGCATCCATTCAGGTCATGGCAGATAAGGTCAGCTGAACTTGGGTTGAACTTCTAAACTAAGAATATGTCTTCTAATGGAAAGAAGTGGCAATAAGTATTATGTTTGAATGCAAACATTTCTGGAAGAATATGTATAAAATTGTGAGCTGTGGTTGTCTCAGTGGATTGAGACAACCAGAGACTTACACATTCTACATTTCTACATTGTTTGAATTTTTACAATAAATAGGTATCACTTTTAAAATCAGAAAACACAAGAAAGATGCTTCTACTTGGAACCCAACTAAAGAAAAAGAACAAGTTATGAATGGCTTTCACAAGTAACAATCAGAAGATGGTTCCTTATCCAAATCATCTATCTGAACCCAAGAGAAACTGCTACCCAACAGCTCTTCAGCTGAAGTGAGAGACATGAGTAGGACCTGCATGCTCAGACCATCCTCTCAAATGGCCAGTTTCTGCTTGTGTTGGGAAACATGAGTCATCAGCATGCTGATAAAACATGTTCTGGCACAACTAGCTGGAGGCCACTTTTGTTATTAAATGGGAATGATGTCACAGGGATGCCACAACAAAAGCCTGCAACTTTAAAGATGGGCAAGACCAGAGAAGCTCCCCAGGGATACATGGCAGACCTCAAGAGCCATCCCTTTATATGGGAGGCTGGATTTTTAAACAGAACTCACCAATAGTAAGTAGAACAAAGTCTCAGTTTTGTAAAATAATTAAAAAATTTTTAAGTTAGATTCTAATTTCCTACATAAGATGGACCATGAACTTTGTCAACAATTAGTGAAAGGGATATAATATACCCATTATTTTTTGGATAAATATAACATGGAAAGAGATACTGACCAACCCTAATCCCCAAATCCTAAATCCAAAATGTTCCAAAATCTAAAACTCTTTGAGCATTGATGTAATGTTATCAGTTGGAAATTACACATCTGACTTCATGTGACAGGTTATACTCAAAATGTAGGAACACTAAAAATAATGTATGAAGTTACCTTCAGGCTATGTGTATAAGGTATACATGAAACACAAGTGAATTTCATGCTTGGACTTGAGTTCCCTCTCCAAAATATCTCATGGATATGAAAATATTCCAAAATCTGAAAGAATTTGAAATCTAAAACCACTTCTGGTCCCAATCATTTTGGATAAGGGCTACTTACCCTGTACTGTCAATATTTTCAAGTGCTCAGAGTCAAAGCTAAATGCAAATGTCACAAGCTCTTCACTTGCTCATTGTTAGTTAATTGCAAATCACCAAAGTTGTTCAATTGTTTGTACAGTTTTGAATCAGCACTTATAGTAATCTTATTTCCCATCTACAGATCAAGCTGACAAAAATGTTAACATTGCAACCAAACTTATGAGGATATAGTGGAAACATTGCAGCAGGTATTATACATATTTTATGCCACCACCACCTTGAACAACAGAGTGCCCCACAGATGTCATCACCTGTCTTTCTCAGATTTACATGCTACAATTCTGTCAACTAACTCAATGACATTATTTTTGTCTTAAAAGTGTGGCAAGATGTACCCTCTTTTTTAGGGGTTGTTTCTTTTTACCAATATTTCATATCCAAATATATTTAACAAGAAGACTAAATCCTAGGGTATGATAAAATACTATAAAACAAATAAACTTGAGACAAATACTGTAAACGAGATGTTGAAAACTAAAATGTAAACTTAATTAAAAAAAAGAAAAGAAAAGTAAAGAAGCACAGGCAAGACATAAACATATCAGATGCACAAGAAACAAGGAAGATGCTCTGACTGTTGCTGCTCCAAACAGAATTGCAGTCATTGCAGGAGTAACTTCCCCTGCACCATAAGCAGTTTGCTAATGAAAGCCTGAAAAGTATCCCCAAATCCAAATGCATCGAAGGCCTGCTGTGGCACATCATGCATGAAGAGTGAGAATAAGACAGAATTATGATAATAAATAGCTCTCAGCCTGATAAGCAACAGACAGACTACTAGTGATGGGACATTCTAGATAATGTCCTCATTTGGCCAAGAAAAGTGGTAAGAAAGCCACTGTGGAAAGAAAAGACTTGAAATGTATTGGCTGGCAAAAGCCACATGGCTCTACAGCCACAGAGTCACAGTGGCAGGAAGAGGAACTGCATGTACCTGGAGGGCTTGTCACAGGTGCAGATATCAGTTCTGCATGGAACTCCCAAACATAGTCATTGTTGCTTTAATGTGTGTTAATTTTCAAAGACACCAAGTTCTTATAATCCTGGTGTTGTTTTCAAACTATTTGGGGGTGGGACAGGAATGCTTGTGGGAAACAATCCATTTGCTCACAGTGTGTTTACTTGATAATAATGCTGGGTGGGGAGCGGGTACTAGTAAAAGGGCAAGATAATTGGTAACATGCAATCTAATAAACTTCTGGCACAAAAATAACTGACTTGCTTTCATTATTCAATTACCAATTAATACATACCAATCAAAAGTAATTGGGAAAGAATATATTAATACTGAAAGTAATCAATAATATAAGAGTTCAACTTAACTGTCAGTTAAGCTTTTGGTGTGCTGTATTGCACCTAGTTAACTAACCCATGAGATTTTGGTTGAACTTTCAAAGAAGTCATGGTTTAGCACTGGAATAGAGAGTATGTATCTGCAAGTATGTGAGTGTATGTGTGATGTGTATTTCCTCTAATCAGGAATGTCTGATCACTTTATCCAGCCTGAGACAATGGAAACTAGACAGACAGAATGTGTTGTAAGAGCTGTGTGTCTTACACACATATACAGGCGGCTCCTTCTACACCCACACATACAAACACACATGCCCTGGAAAAAACCATTATTTGATGCTGAGGAAGTGTTCACTGCAGTTTGATAAATGCTGTGGCTGGGAATTTCAGTAGCACAGTGTCCAGAACTATTGAGACGTCCATGGAGAGGAGAGCAGAGACTGGCTCAAGGGTGAGATCCTTAGGACAGGTGGGTGCTGTTCCGCAGCCAGTGCAGGCCTTGCTGGGAGTACTGCACCAGGTGCTCCATGCTGCTGTGCAGGGTGACAGGTCCCATGAGCAAATCCAGGTCATTGAAGAATTCTAGGGTACAGAGGGAGTTGTTAAAGTGCTATACACACTAGGTGTGCTACCTGTAAGTCATGATCTGGGTGACTTCAGAAAGAATTCTATTCAAGGTCTCTCTATAAATCAATGATTATTTGTTCCATCCTGTGACTTCAGCATTTCTTTGAACTAAATAAGATACAAGTGTGTGTGCTCATTGTATATCCACATCAATAAATAAACCGTATCTGCATTTCTAAGTCAAATGAAAAATGTTTATTTAGCCAAACAGCAAAGAAAATCCTTGTGTTCAGACTGTGTTCTCTTGGTGTAGCAATGCTTCCCAACCCAAATGTCAGTGTGGCCCTTCCAGTCCTTAGTCCATAGTCAACTGGGGCACAAACTACACCCTTGGAGTGAGTCCATCCTGAGGCTCTAGGATGGTGGGGGGCAAATCAGAGATCAGAGTAGAGGAGACACTGCTACTGAAGTCACCTTCTAGCATTTGGACATTCTCTGGGTTTGCTCTTTCATTACACATTATGATGGACCAAGGTACTCTGCAGGTGCAGAAGTAGAGGTAGAGAAGGATCCAAGATGAATCATGAGTGGCATCTTTACTCTGTCACAGTCTAGTGGCTGATAGAGACAAATTCATATGGCTACTGCTCTGTCATAGCTGATCACTAACAGTCCTTGAAAAAAGGTACTGAGACACTTTTTCAAGTGTATTTACATAATACAGAATAGAGTCCTGTTGGGGAAAAGCAGGGGAGGGAGGATCAAGAAAGACTCCACATTGCAGGAGGCTGGTAGGAGGGATCCAGGCATAGAATGGAAGAGGAAGAGCAGACTGGGGTGGGAACAAAGCTGAGTTTGCACGGGACAACATGGCACTGAGCTCTCTGATAGGATATGTGCAGCAGGCGATTGGCAGTGCCATGTGGAGCCTGGGCTGCTCAGGTTCTCCCAAACTGGATGTGTATATTTCCATACATTTGTCCCTTCTGTTGTTTTCACCAGAGACACCACCTCATCCTACTTGGCCACTCCATGCGATGCGCTTTTCCAAACATACTTCCAGGCCACCTCCTCTAGGGAGATCACTCTGCTCTTGTCCTCAAAGATTCACACAATTACCATTTAATGGCCTGAAACTGCGCTCAGTTTTACAGTCTTACCTGCTGACGGAAGGAGAGTAGTAAACTGATATCATTTTTTTCAGGAGAAAAGGTTAACAACTATCTATCTGTCTATCAAAAGAAATCTATACCTGTTGAGCCCAAAGTTCTATTTAGTTTTATTTGGTGGTACTAAGGACTGAACTCAGGGCCTCACACTTACTTGGCAGGTGCTCCATCACTTGAGCCATGCGCCTAGTCCCCCCAGATCTCACGTTTGTAACTCCCGCCTAAGAATCTAATCATGAAAAATTATATAAGAATATTTACCACATCATTATTTGTCACAGTAGAAAAAACTAGAGGTAACCTAAGTGTCTAACAGCTGGGGGGTAGCTTGAGAAACCATGATACTTAATGATCTTATAATCATTATATTAGAATATTATAGAAGCATCATAAAGGGTGTTTCTTGAATAATGAATCACACGAGAAAATGCCTGATACAATGTTAAGTGAATTAAGACAGGATATAAAACTATATATACACTATGATACCATTTTGGTAAAAATAATGCAGATGGAAGAAGAAATACTAGAAGAAACTCAGGTTGAAAGTTAACAGTAGTTATTTCCTGGTGATAAGATCACTGAAATTTAAAAACTTTTTCTCTATAGTTTCTGCACTTCACAAATTTATACACAATAAGCAAACATTCAATTCATTCTATTATCAGTAAAAACAAAATCTAACTTCCTACCACATGGTTTTTTATTTTTTTTTTGAGACAGGTTCTCACTATGTAGTCCAGGAACTCAGTTTTCCTAGCTTAGCCTTCTGAGTGCTGGGATTACAGACATGTACCACCAAGCCCACTTAAATGTTGAAACTTAAAGAGCTAGTAACTCTCATTTGTCTGTTTGTTTGCTCATTCATTCATGCATGTATTCGATTAGAGTCCCAACTGTGTTAGGTACTAGGCTAGGTCTTAAGAGAACAAATATGAATGAAACAGAATCTCTGCCTTCAAGGAGCTCAGTGTCAAAGCTCAGAACCATTTGTGTAATCCATACCTGTATCTGTGCCTAAACTTGTATCTGTGCCTATACCTGTATCTGTGCCTATACCTGTACCTGGACCTAAACCTGTATCTCTATCTGTACCCATACCTATATGTGTGTCTGTATTTAATCGATCTGACATGCTCTTCCACAGTAAGCATAAAGATAGTTAAAGGCACAGGGCACCCTGAGAGAGGGGTGAGGCCAGGAGATTTTTCATACAGCAGGTGATAGCCTCTCCTCTTTCTCCATCCATAAATCATGAAAACCCAGTAGTGATGCCCTGGGTCAGGCTGTCTCCCCAAGCCTAGGTGGACCCTGCGTGCCCCCAGAGGGCCATGGACACACCTCTGTTTTCCTTGGCCAGGTTGTCAGCCATCTCCCAGTAGTCATAGCTGTGGAGGATGCTGTTGGTGATGCTGACGTGATTGGCCGCCATCTGGTGAATGCGTTGGGGGATGCTCACGATGGTCGACGGGGACAGGGCGTTGGTGTTGGAAAGGCTGCCCTGAGACCCCACGGAGCTGGTGGGAGAGGGGTTGGGAGACATGGGGGATGGGGTTCCAGTGCTCCTGGAGGGGGAGAGGTAGAAAAACCAGAGTGGAGAGGTCGGGAGCAGGTGAGATGGGGCAGCCCCTCAGGACACTGGAGCACCATGCATTGGATGACTTATTGCATTGGGGAAAAGTGAACTTACTTTCCACTGGCACCCCATGGAGATGGGGTCTGGGCAGCTTTTGATGAATTCTACAGGAAGATAAAAAACACAGACAATGAGTGTCACCTGAACAGTAGACAAAAACATGGTCTCAGTGACTATGGTGCATGAATGCTGCAGATGAATGCAGATTCATAGAAAGTAGATCTGAGGAGGAGTAATTACAAGACTGTTGCTTCCTTTCTGGAAGCTAGTGGCATGCAGGCTGCCCTGCCTGTGGGTTCCCCAGTGGGTAAGATGAAGGGCTCACTCCTGGGTTGCTACATACAAGTTTTATGTACCAAATTAAATCAAACTCTCGAGGGTCTGTTGAATTCTGAACCAGTTTAAATTTTTCATTGTAAATTAGTCTAACTTTTCCGAGCAGAAACTGTCCCCATCTCCCACTGACAATACCTTATATTTAAACTTAGAGGTTATTTGCAGAAACTGTTGATAGTATTTATTTAATGCTGGAAAATATATGTTATCAATGTCTACTGTTTTAACTTATGAGGTTTAAAAGGAAAGGTGATTTCCTTTGAGAGGGATATTAATGAAAGAATAGATTAAGATATATTTCATTAACAGATCAAACATTAAAAAATTCTGGCTTATTTAAATATTTGATTTAGGATGTTATGTTGCACGAGCTAGGGTGTTTGCATCAGGGACTTAAAAGAAGTTATCAGGTTAGGGGTGTGGCCTAGTGGTACACACTTGTTTGAGACCCTGGGTTTAAGTCCTAGAACTGCAAAACAAATAAACAAACATACAATAAAAACCAACCAACTAAACAGATAAAAACAAAAACCAAAAAAAAAGTTTTCCCTTTAGCAAGGAAAGCTGCTAACTGCACAATCGGGTTTCCTCTGAGAGCCCAGTATGGCTTTCTTGGACAGCTAGCCACAGGACTATGAAGAGAAAATAATGGTTTTGTGATGCTCATGTGAATTTTCCTTCAAAGATGAGAAAAGAGCCTCAGTCTGATTCCCTGAGCCCATGCATTCCTTTTAGTTACAGGCAACTTCATGAAGTAGTGACTGATTTTTTTAGTTTTAGGTACAAATGGCAAGAAATAGCCTTTCAGGACTCAGAGGTACTACAGCATAGTATAAACACAGGACAGAATTGTAAACCATATCACTTTTACCTGTCTCAGAATGCCATTATTTTCATGGAGAGAGCTAGAAAAAGAAGAACGGTCATTCTAGGAGTGCTGATCTCCCTTTTCCTACCAGGACATTGACTCTTTTGCAACCAGGCAGTATGGGTTCAACCCTTTGCTTCCACTTCATGTGTAACCTACATAGTAGATACTCTGGATATGAGCACACTCAGGTAAAAGAGGGACAGAGTTTGTGTGGTGTCAGAAATAGTTTAGAAAAGGATGTTGAAGGGGATAGAAGTCTTCAGGCTCTTCCCTTACCACTAAGCTCCATGATCAAAAAGCCCTGGGAGGAACAGAGTCTCCTTTTCAGAGACAGCTCTGTATTGATAAAACACATATTTTTTGAGCCAAGTTGTCATTGTAACCTGAAGGTTTCAGTCTCTGAACTTTACTTAAACAGCCTTTGAAACTTTGTACAAAAGGGCACCTAAATGGCACAAAGTTTCAGTTAGGAGGAGTACATTCTAGAGACTTAGTGAATGGCATGACAATTATAACTAACAATAATGTATAGTATACTTGAAAATAACTGAGTAGGCTTTAAATGTTCCCATCATGAAAATGATAAGTATGTGAGGTAATGGATGTGTTAATTAAGGCTTTTTTTTTTTTTGGTGACACTGGGGTTTGACCTCAGAGTCTCATGCTTGCTAGGGAGGTGCTCTACTACTTGAGCCACTCTGCCAGCCCCAATTAATTTGATTTAATCATCCTGCAATGTATATGTTTATCAAAATATCACATTGTGTAGCATATATACACACACTTTGTTTCTGCTAAATTGGAAGATACATTAAAAACATCAAATTGATGGAGGGTGATGCCAACACTCCTGGAAGAGAGACTCTAGTCTCCACCCATTTGGATGTACATATTCACAGAGTACATACATAAATCAAGAACTTCTTTTACACCTTAAAAGTTTCACTGTAATCTCATGACTTATAGAATTCTTCCGTCTTTATTCAAGCATTTTTCTTAACTGTAGTAGCTTTCCTTAGAATCAGGTCTTAGATTCTGATTTTCTGAAAATAACTGATCTTGTAAAGGGCTCCATGCTGGCTCTTATTATGACACAGATAGGCAATGTGCCTGGCTACCGGAACCAGTCTCTAAGAAGCAAAGGGTGAGCATAGAGGATCTGATGTGTATCTCACAAAGGCACAGTGGGGACAGTGAGGGTGTAGCTTCTTGTTTCTATAGATAAATGGATGAGGAAGAGGCCCAGAAAACTCAAACAAACTTCATGTCTACTTTATAACATACATCAAAAAAGGGCTTTTGGATTTTTTTTGCTTTTAAAAAATTCTCCCAGTGAAAATAATTGACTTTTTGATCTCAAAAGGTGCCATTCAATCCTTACAGTTACACATCATGAGCTAGAGTCTCTGAGTTCTTATGAGTCACTTCTTATCATTTAAAATGACACCTCTATTACAAATTAAATTTGTACTAGAGACTAAGTAAGGGGAAGTTGGTTTAAATAGTTACTTCTGAGAGAAAGAAGCTCTACGTGACAAATTTATGTCTTCTCTAAAGATGAATTTAGGATGCTAGAATGAATAATTGGATATTCTTTCTCTAGTGGCCATAGAAATATTTGGACAAGAAAGCAGGAGAATAAACTAGCTGAGTTCTCAAGGTCCATTCTCTGCGCCCTGAAAGCCACATGTGTGTCATAAGTGGTGTTATTCTGGAGACCAGAGGTGACCTGAATTAGCCCCAAAGCAATGGGACTTCTGACAGGGAGGCAACTGAACACAAGGGGCCATGTTGCCAGACAGTACCTTGAAATAGTCGATAAGTGCTTTTGAATACTTTACAGCGTGGTCCCTTTTGAGTCGAAACATCCGCCAGTAGAGGAGAGCCAGGCACCGGTAACTGTGGCAGAAGAGGAGAAATGAGCCCTCAGGATGCAAGAGTGTCCTTCATGAGCAAGACTTTAAAACAAATCTTGTCATTTCAGGGAACTCAATGCTTATCCCATGCTTATGTATCTAAAATATTTCTATATGCATGTATATGTCTGTGAGTATCTGTCCTTCTTTTTTTTCAAAAAATGTAATCCAAAATGTATTCCCTAAATACATTTACTTCTAGATCATGTCATAATATCTTTAATGCTTCTTTGTTGTGAACAAGGTCTGGCTGCTTTCTTCTTCTAACACTAGAGGGCAGTCTCTCTCCATGAGAGGGAGGAGGAAACTCTAGCCCACAGCTTTCACTGCTTTCTGGGTGAGCTACTAGATTAGCCTGTAACAAGACAGCAACTTCACCTGTTTGTATTAGGTACTTTCTACCGTTTTAGTAGTCTACAATTAGTTCAGATTAAGTGTGTTATAAGCAATAGAAGTACTATGCTGAGGACAGTTACATTTGGTTATTTTCTACAACATTAATTTATATATTAGTGCTCTAATATATTATTAATCATCAATTTATTAATCTCAAATGGTACTTCAATAAAGAAAAGGGCACAGGTAGCTTTTCCTAAGATCCCTCCTCTGTTCATTGGCATTCTTCATTTATTTTGTAATTAGTTTCCAACTCAGATCTGCTGTTGACGTGCCAAAATAGCAACCTGCCAAGTACAATTCCATAGTCCTAACCCTCCAAGCAGATGTGCGACAACCTGAGACCCCTTCTTTTGCTAGGTCGCTGTTATGGCTTTTGAAACTCCATTTGATTATCCAACACAGATTAGATTCTAGAGTGTAATGAACTTTTGGAAAGTAAAAAGTTTTGGATCCTTTTCACAGGAAGAACCAACAACAAGGTGTCTTGCAATATGGGGAGTGGGGTGAGATATACTGAAGAGATGTCATGGGTTAAAAGTTATTACTGTAACCATTATAATCATTATAAGCACAGACAAAATCTATTATATATTGGCTAATATTAAAAATGATATTATTATCAATGCATAATGAGCTGCTCTTCAGTTTCATGTATAGAGACTTCAATGGACCCTCTGTATTCATTCATACTGATCTGGCATGTTAAAACAACACATGAATTATTTTGATTGCATCTAATGTGTTAAACACAGGAGAAATTCCCTTTGGCACAATTTACATTCAAATGACTGAAACAGGGACCTACCTGATTTTAAAACACAGGCACACATACAGAAAAAAACCCTATCCATTCAATCACTGGAATTCAGTTCATACATGGCATGGCAGTAAGAAATGGTCTGGACAATCCCTGGCTGAGAACTGCATAGAGCTTTGTAAGTTAGGAGCTCCGCTGAGTTGGGATGATTCACTCACCACAATGCAGCTAACTGTTTGTCCTCTGGAGTGGCGTTGGGGCCTGAGTGGGTTTTTAGTCTCATAGCATACCTAAAACAAACAAAAAACCCAAGCGAATTTAAAAAATGCTTTCTAATTTATTAACAACAGAATCTCTTCTGTGAACGCTATTTCTCTTGCCCCAATACTTAGTTTTTCATAGTGCTGCTAATTCGTTTTCTCTCTCTCCCTCTCCCTCCTCCCCTCTCTCTCAGGGCCTCAAGCATACCAGGCAAGAAGTCTACCACTTGAGCCACACCCCCGCCTTTTGTTTGTATTTTGTTTCTGAGACAGGGTCTCATTAACTATGCCTGGCTTGGTCTTGAACTCATGATCTTCCTGCCTCCACCTTGCCAGTCACTGGGATTACAGGCATGACTATTATGCCAGCTGATAATTCTTAAAAGCTGGCTGATGTCATTCCATTTTCCCCAAGCATAACAGTGATGACTAGAACAAAATGACTTTTATGATACCTTGCTACTTTCTGCTCTTTAACAAGTTCAAGTGCTACAGACTGTCAGGAGTTATACCAGTTTAAGAACTATTCAAGTATATGGTAATGCGTCTCCTTTTCAAACTTTTGATTTATGACTGAGAGGCTGACAGATGGAGGCAAAGTTAAATTCTTCTGGAGAACTTTTACCCTGGAGGCTCAGATTGATGCTTAGTTTGCCCCTTTCTCTTTGTTACGTAACTCCTGCTTTGATGGCGGTGTACAAGTCCTGCACATCGTAATCTCTATTTGTTGCTAAGTACTTGTGCAGTGAGAAACCAGTGGCTCTTATGGGCTGCACTTAATTCTTCTTACTTTCCTGAGCTACGGATAATGTGGCCATTGCTTCCTCCCAGTAACATGCTAGGCCATCTATGCAGATCCTTTGAGAGCTGAGTCAGTGTGCACTGGTCAAAGGGTCCTAGTTTCAAATCCCAGCTATGGATGAATTGTGAGAGTTTTGACAGATTTCTAAGCCTCCATTTCCTTATCTGTAAAATAAGATGATTTCTTTCTTCAGTGGTTTATAGTTTCATTGTAGATGTCTTTCTAGGGAAATACCCAAAGGAATGTAAGTTGGGTTACAATATAGGCACCTGCATACCCATGTTTAGTGCAGCATTACTCACAACAGCAAAGCTATGGAAATAGCCAAGATGCCCCACTTCTGAGGAATGGAACAAAAAAATGTGGTATTTATATATGATGGAATTTTATTCAGCCACAAAGAAGAATGAAAATTTGTCATTTTCAGGTAAATTGATGGAACTGTAGAACATCATCTTAAGTGAAGTTAGCCAGGTCCAGAAAGCCAATGCTGCATGTTTTCTCTCATTTGTGGAATGATAATATAAGCAATATTATGAAAAGCAGGTCACACTAAGGGACGGTCACTAATGAGAGAGGGAGAATAAAAGAAGGAAGTTAAGAAGGTGAGTATGGTTGATGTACTTCCTATACAAGAGTGAATATAGAATTTTTAAACCTGTTGAAATCACCATAAGAAGGGGGCTAAGGTAGAAAGGAGAAAAATAGGGAGGATGAACCAATTCAGGTTATAATAATATATACATGGAAATGTCACAAGTAAACTCTCTGTGTAGCTATCTTAAACAAAAATATCATTTTTTTTACAAAAATAGAGAACAGGAGGGCAGAACAGGTCCTTCTCTGGGGGTTGGCACCAGTGGGAGGGAGAGAATATAAGGAAAGGTGGAGGAGGTGAATGTGGTGGAAATATTGTGTACACATGTATGAAAATGGAAAAATGAGACCTGCTGAAACTATTCCAGGGATGGGGGTAGGGGGAAAAAGGAGAGAGATGGAGGGGGTGAATTCTGGTATGATATATTGTAACAACTTTTGTAAATGTCACAATGCACCTCCAATACAATAATAAAAAAAAAAAACAAAAATAAAATAAAGTAAGATGAATACTGCAACCATGTAGCACTGTTGCAGGAATTACTTCAGAGAGTTCTGTAAAGCTCTTGGCATAGCAAGCTGACTTGCTTCAAACTGCTCAAGAAACAGAACTGTTACCACCTCACTATTTCCACAACGTGAGGATTTGCTGGTGTTTGAGTGCCTATCTCTGTAGAATTTTCCATTTTGCTCTGGTATTACAATATACATATATGACATCACAATTTATTGAAATCAACATTTCACGATGCTGAGTGAAGTGTGGAAGCCTTTCTACCTCCCCACTTTTAAACAACACTATCTTGAGCATCAGATGATGGTCTATAATTTTGTTTCAACCATCAAACATGACTTGTAAAACTCAAAGAAGTGGATTGTTTATGGTATGTGTTGATATTTCTGTTCTTTTCTTGTGGACGCTCTAAGATTCCTTCTTTCAACACTCTAAAATTCCTTCTTTCAACACTTCCTTTCTGTTCAGGAAGTTACTTCAGCCAGTTTTTAAGGGTAGGTCTGTTACAGACAAAAACTTTAGCTTTCTTTAGTCTGAGAATATCTTTATTTCCCTTCATTTTTTTTTTTTTTGATGGCATGGGGTTTAAACTCAGGGCCTCACAATTGCTAGGCATGCACTTTTACTCCTTGAGCCACTCCATCAGTTCTTTTTTGTGTGTGATGGGTTTTTTCAAGATAGGGTCTCTCAAACTATTTGCCTGGGCTGACTTCAAACCACAATCCTCATGATCTCTGCCTCAGCCACCAGTGCCTAGGTCCCTTCATTCTTGAAGAAAGTTTCCACCGAATCTAGAATCTGCAGCTTGATAGTTCATTCTTTCTCACTTAAAAAAGTGTCATGCCATTCCCTTTTGGCTGCCTAAGTTTCAGATGCAGTCTGCTGTCCTTTGAATTGGTATACCCCCTACTACCATGTCTCTGGTGGCTTCAGGGATTTTTTTGTTTTTGTTTTTTGGAATTATGATGTGTCTTGGCATGCATTTCTTTAGGTTTATTCTATTTCGGTTTTTTTTTTTTTTGGCTGCTTGAATCTGTAGATTTATGTCTTCTGACACACTTGACAACTTTTACCATCACTTCTTCAAGTACTCTTCGTTCCACTATATTTCCCCTCCTTCTAGGGTTCCAGTGATTTCAATGTTGAATCTTTTGTTATTGTGCTTACTATGGTTTGAATGCATATCCAACATAACAGTATGAAGAGGTGGGAATTTTAAGGCAGCTCTACCCTCCTGGATGGAGTAATGCTGTTGTCATGGGAATAAGTTAGTTATTGCATGAGTGGGTCCTGATTAGAAAAAGGGATGAGTTTGTACCAGTTTGCTTTCTCTGTGCCATACATGCTTGTTTGTCTTTCCTCCAGGTTCTGATGCAGCACAAATGCCCTCACCAGATGCCAGCACCATGCTCTTGCTCTTGGACTTCCCAAGAATTTCCAGAACTGTGAGCTAACCTACTGTTTATCCTTTACCCAGTTCATGGTATTTTGTTAGCAGCAGAAAGGAGAGTAAGATGTGACTGAGGCTCTATTAACTTTTTTCAGCCTATTTCCTCTGTGTCACTCCGGTTGGGTAAATTCTACTTTCTATCCTCAAGTTCATTGAATCTATCCTGTTACTGCCACTCTGCTATAGAGCCCATCCAGTGGTTTTTATTTGTTTCCATTATTGGAGCATTTTTATAATGGCTATTTAAAAATCCCTCTTAGACAATCCCAATGTTTGATTCTTCTTGATGTCAGGTGATCATCTGTTTTCATCCCAGTGTGACTTTCCTGGTACTTGGTATGAAGAATGAATTTCTACTATATGCTGGACATTTTGCCTGCTATATTGGGAGATTCTTCATCCTATTCAAATCTCTTGTTTTAGTACACTCTTACCCTGCGTGTTTAGCAGGCAGGTTTAGGCTTGGATTACTTTGAGGACTGTGGTTCTAACAATTTAATTTTCAGAGCTTTCCTGGTGCTGTTTTGGTTAGCTCCAGTTGATCTGGTATCACTGGGGTTACAACTGGTCCCTGATTGTGCTGCCCTGAGGTAAGAGGGGTGGCAGGGGAGGCTCACCAGGCTGGGTTCCTGTGGAAGCAGCACACCATTAACCAGTGACCTTTTGCCCTCTGGAGCCCCTTGGTGGAGGTGAGAGTTCTCTCACTTGTGGGGAGCTCCCCCTTGCAAGCACTCCTGGTCCTCCAGTGGGGAAGACGAGTGTCAGGTTTGGTGGATAAGGCACAGGTTTAAGTGGTAAATTAATTGGCACTACTTTTTTTTAGATAAAATCCATAAGCATATGGTTCATTTCTTTTTCTTATTGACACTTTATAAATGTCCTTGTTTATGGGATACAGTTTGATTTTGAAACATGTATATTGATCAAGCTGGGGGAAGCAGCACACCAGCACTTGTGCATTTTTCATTTCTTCGTGGTGAGAAAATTCAAAAATCTCCCTTGTAGCTGTTTTGAAATATATAATACTTTATTGTTAATTACAGTTGTCATACTGTAAATAATAGTTTTCTAATTAAGGTAAGAAAAATTTCTTTTTTCTTAGTTTTATGTGCAGCTGAAGTGATTCTTTCCATTTTGAACTCTCTAGATGATGGACCAGGTGCTCTGCCTGGGCAAGGTGACTTGCATTGGTGGACTCTTCAGGTGTGGCACTCCTGTACCCCTAGTTGTCTCAATGGCATCGGGCTTTTAATTTGTTGGTAGAATTTGCTCGTTCATTTCAAACTGTGAATGTTTTAAGTAAGTTATAATACTCCAGGTCACTGCAGGCTCTAAGGCTTTTTTACCCATTCCTCAAATATTTACTAAACACACACTATGTACCAGGATCTCTTCTAGAAGCTGAGGATACATCAGTGGACAAATCAGACCAAACACCCACCACAGATCCCCATGCTCAAGGCATTCACACGGTGGCTATCTTCCCACTTTGCACCCATCCAGTCTCACCCACGTCCTCCCTGCTTTGCTGTGCTTTGTTGTGAGGAAGGAATGTGAGGATCTAGAGTCTCTTATATATAAGTCATTCTCACAGCTTTTTACTCTGTTGTTTTCTTTTTTTTTTTTAATAATTTTTTTATTAGGATATATTCATTATACAGGGGCTGGGGGAAGATTCGTAGTGATAATTCCATCTGTTGTTTTCTTTACTGCTGAAAATATTGTGGCATTTGGGAAGACAGTATGAAGGAACCACCAATGCATTGGTTTAGTAGAAATAGTTTAATGAGAAAAATAGCTGGGCAGGGTTGACCTTCAAAGCATATTTGAGAAATGCTATTTGAAGGTTATGTATTCTCTGATGTTTGGAAGACAGCTTCAAAGATGGAAACTACTGACTGAAGGAGAGTAGCGAAAAATACCACCTCACTTCTTTGGGGTAATGTGGACCACATAGGCCATGACCCAAGATGACTGGAAAACTCCCATACATGATTGTGGGATATGTTTAAAAAAATACCCAAGGTTAGTCTGCATAGAATCTCAGAATCAGAAAAGCTTCTCTGAGTGAGTCTTAGAAAGCATTATTTCATACCCTGGTATTAGATGTTATTCCCATGCAGTTAAACTAGCTAAAAACATAAGCCATTTTACAAAGGTTCTCAGTAGGATAAGGAGGGACTACTGAATTCTAACGAACAAAATTTATCTTTCCTTGTCCCTCCCTCCCTCCTATTCTCACCCCTCCTCTCTTTTTTGTGGTACTGGGGCTTGAACTCAGGGCCTTCACCTTGAGGCACTTCATCTGCCCAATTTTTTGTGACAGGGTTTTTTGAGATAGGGTCTAGTGAACTATTTGTCTGGGCTGGCTTCGAACTGCGATTCTTCTTATCTCTGCCTCCTGAGTAGCTAGGATTACAGATGTGAGCCACTGGTGCTGGGTTTTCCTGGCCTTTCTTAATTACCATTCTATCCTTAACTTTTGAAAAATCAACTTGTTTAGATTCCACATGAGTGAGATCATGTGACACTTGTCTCTGTGCCTGGGTCATTTCACTTTGTGTAGTGATTTCCAGTTCCATCCATGTGGTTATGAATGACAGAAATTTATTCTTTTTATGGTTGAATAGTATTCCATTGTGTATGTGTCTCACATTTTCTGTATCCATTCACCAGCTGACAGACACTTAGGTTGTCTCTGTTTCTTGACTGTTGTGAATAGTGCTGCATTGAACATGAGAGTGCAAATGTCTATTTGGCACACTGATTTCCTTTCCTTCGGGTGTACACTAGTAAAGTGGGTTACTGGAACATATGATAGTTCCATTTTTCATTTTTTGAGAAGCCAGCATAACTGTGTTCCCTTGTGGCTGTACTACTTTATATTCCCATCAACAATGTGCAAGAGTTTCCCCTTCCTCCACTTCCTCACCAGCTCTTGGGATTTTTAGTCTTTTTGATAATAGCCCTTGTTACCGGGGTGAGGTGATATTTCATTGTAGTTTTGATTTCCCTGTTGATTAGTGATGTTGGGCATTTTTTCATGTACCCATTTGCTGTCTGTATGTCTTCTTTTGCGAAATGTCTGTTTAGGTCTATCACCCACTTTAAAATAAGACTTTTTTTTTTCTGCTGAGTTTTTTTGACTGGACTAGATTGTTTTTTTAAAGCAGCTTGGAGGTGATGAGTCCCAAGTCTGTGACTTCCCAGCTGGGGAAAGCAGGTGTGTGAAAGCTCACTCAGATGCACCCTCCTCCCTTGGCAGTCAGGGGTTACAGGAGCTGCCCTGCCTCATACAGAGAGGGCAAGGAAGGCAAAACATGTAAAAGTTGTAAATTACATGTTCTTAGTTTGTGAGAATGAACACTGGTTCCCAGTGGCTGACGGTGTGGGCCAACATTCTTTTCTGGTTTTGCAGTACTTACATACATTCCTCACATGCTCCCCAGCCCACTCCCCTGCCAGCAAACAGAGCTTACCTGATGAGCTCCACTGTTTCTGAGTACATGGTGTAAGGAGACTTGGATTCCATGGGGCCTTGCTCCATTGCATTTCCACATTCAATAAATGACAAGGCTGCTTCAGCATAGTTCAAAGCCTTTCCAAACTTTTCCACCTGAGCAACAGAATTAACAGGGTCTTCCTTAGTAAGAGGTTTTAAGTAGCACTCACATAATTTACACTCTTTATTTGAGGTGCCCAACTTTTGACTTCCCAAATCCTATGAATGAGGCTGAGAGAAGAAGGAAACAGACACAGCGGTCCCCTCTAGCCATCGTTTTAATTCCCATGACTTCAGTTACTTATCAACCATGGTCTGAAAATACTTAATGGGAGCTTCCAGAAATAAACAATTTATAAAGGTTAAATAAATTTTAGTTTATTACTACAATTGTTCTACTTTATTATTAGTTACTGTTAACCTCTTACTGTGCCTAATTGATAAATTAAACTTCATCACAGATATGCTTGTATAGGGAAAAAAAAGCAAAGCATGTATAAGGTTCCACATTACCTGCAATTTCAGGCACCTACTGGGGCCCCTGGAATGTATCTCCTGCATATAAAAAGGAACTACTGCAATTGTTTTTTTAGTTATTTGGTCAAATGGCTACTGGTTTGGGGGTAAGAGAACAAATGGTTGTATGCAGAATGCTACTGAACCCATGTGCCAATGCTACCAAACCCATGTACAAACATGGCTCCAGACTTCACAGCAGCTCTAATTTCTGTGTCACTCTTTCCAGCGTTTGGCAACTCCATTCCTTGATCCTCTGTGCTATGCAAAATATGCACCAGAGTTGGCAGGTCTGGCTCACATAGGGTTTTCATACTTTTTTCTTTTGCACACCTCGGCTTTGAATTTTCAAGGCCTCAGTTGTCATCTTGTACATTTTCTGAGACATTTACATCTCCACACCTTCCTCTCTTCACTCAAGGTTGAGAAGGGAAAAGGAGAGGTGATGAAACTCAAGTTTTTATTGCACCTTTGTTAAAATGGAGCACAAGGTTGAAAATCAGTAATAAAAATGGTTGTTGGATGATCTATAGTCATCTAAATTTATATCAATCTTTCCCCACATCAGCAAGGATAATCGTGAATCAGCTATATAGTCTTAAAATCTCATAGATTCAAGCTTACACATCAAATTCACATTGCTACTCTCTGTGGATAATGACATAGTCTCGCTTTGGATTTCAAAATTGCCCCAATTTTCAAATGAGTCATTTCACCACTGCCAACAAAAAATGATATTCATACTCTAAATACTACTTCCAGTCTTGCCACTAAAAACAAAACAGAACTTCATTGGCAATGATACCTTAGAAAATAGAAACACTGGCCAGTGTTGTAGCTCATGCCTGTAATCACAGCTACTTAAGAAGAAGAGATTGGGAGGATCATGGCTTGAGATCAGCTCAGGCAAAAAGTTACTAAGACCTCATTTCAACAAACAAATTAGGTGTAATGGTGCACGGTATAATCCCAGCTAAGTTGGAGGCATAGTAAGGTCCAAGGCTGTCCCTGGACAAAAACATGAGACCCTATCTGAATAATAAACCAAAGCAAAAAGGTTGCTGGTGTGACTCAAGAGGTAGAGTGCCTGCGTAGCAAGCACAGGGACCTGAATTCAAACCTCAGTTCTGCGATAAAGCAAAACAAAACAAAAATGGAAGTACAGAGCAAAACTCCCTCTCATTAGCAAAGCAAATTTTAAAATAGCTTATAAATCAAATTGTCTATGAAGCAACATTTTGCCAACACTTTCAGATTAAGGAAATAATTTCATTCAGTAAGTACTTCCTCAAGCACTCAATTCTGAGGTATGTGCACTTGACTGATACACAAAAGCTCCGTCCAAGTACACATAGTACATTTGGAGAGAGACATTGTGCACCCATAAAACAGTTCAATGTGCAGTCAGTAAGATAGAAAGAAGGGAGCAAGGGGTGGGGCTCAAGAATCTGGGAGGAGAGCTGGGAATGGTACTGGGAAGGAAAGATGCGCTCTGTTGTGTCTGGGGAGGACAGGGTGCGAGTGTGTGAGAGCGTGCAGCTCTGAGGTGCACAGGCTGCTGTCAAGGTGTGCTCTCAGAGCCCGGCTGGATCAGTGTCTCTCATAGGAAACCAGTGGGTAGGAAAGGCAGGGCTGGGCAAGATGACACTGAGTGGATAAGGCCGGCAGACCCTGTAGGATGGACTCAGGCAGAAAATCCCATTCTGCTTAAAGGTGCCATGTTTTTCCCTACAGCAGCCATGACCTAACTTTGCATGATTATGAGACTGGACGTGCAAACACTGTCTCTTCCATTCTCGTCTCTGTGTTCCAGTACCCAGTGGCTATTCCTTCTGTACCCCAGTGTGTCTTGGCAGTGGATTTCATAGAAATAACTGTTTGATGGGCAACATGAGACCGGGGACTGTTAGGGCTTAAGATCCTCCTCACTGGAATAAAATTCTGAAGTCATCTGAAATGCTACCTTTGTCTTTAGTCTCTGACTGATCTCAGTTATGAACACTGGAGGGAATAAAACTCGGATTAGTAGTGAGGAAGGCATTCTTTTGGATGAAACCTTTAGCTGGAACAACCTTATGGTCTTAAAAAAAAAAAAGAAAAGAAAATCAAAATTTTCTATTTATTTCCTGAAAGCTTCAAGCTTTTCAAAATAGGAGATTATCCAAGTAAGAAAAGTTATTCTTTGAAAACATCAAATCATGGTGACTTTAAGGTTTTATGTGCAGATAATAGTTTCTCTGTTGTGTACCCTCAGGGGAAGCATTCATTTTGGCAGACACACATGAAGAACATGAGTCTTTTTGAAAAGAGGTTTGATCCTGGGACCAAGCTAAGGGTTGGCCAGGCTAACAAGAGAGAAAAATGCAAATCTAGAGTTATTTTTAAAAGGAAAAAATACTACCACCCACTGACAACATTGGCTGTAGTTACTATTCAAACCTTAGACAAAACTGAAATACTCATTTATCCAGGACTTTCTCGACATTATTGGTTGAAGTCATAATTTATTGGGCCATCTGAGCCTTTGATTTTATAAACATTTCTCCATTTAACAGGCCCAGCCATCATTGTAATAGATTTTATAATTACCCCAACTCTATTGCCCCAGTGACGAAGCTGCAGTACAAACATAATTTGGATGAACGGTATCTGGAAAGAAAGGGGTCTCACCATTGCATCTGCTTTATGCTTCATCCGTTTAGCTTCTTGCATAAAATAGTCTGCACTGCGAGGCCTACAAAGAATATTAACTATCATTATTCTTGAAGTAAAAGATCTCTTGAAAATACTCTTTTCTTTTGCTCAAATATAAAGCACAATTTAAAAACTCTGCTTAATATGGAATCAAGTATTTTTTTGCACTTCCAAATTACTGCCTGTATGTAAAATACTGTGATTATTTTTCTCATAAATTAGCAATACAAAGCCCAGTCAATATACATAGATACTCTACCTTTATAGTGACTTCAATATGGTCCTTCAGTACTTAATTTGTGAATCAGGTTTTTTATTGTACTGTTAAAACAGTCTTTTTAGATTCAGAAAAAATCTTATTTCACACGATATATATACAAAACAATTCCCCTTTAATGTAAAGATTGTAAGTATATCTCATAAAAAGTGCTTGGATATGTATGAGTGAGGGTATTTATGTAACTGTACAAATAGAAGGGTCATTTATATGTATAAGTGGTATCTAGAGTTGTAGCTGTATATATTAATTATTTTAAAACCTCACAATGAAAAATGTAATGTATGATTATGTTCAAGTTGCAATGAAGTTAACTGTAAAATGATGTAACAATGCAATCATGAATATATCCTCTGGAGTTCTGATTAGCTAGTAGTAAACATTAACTGCAAACCTGTGCATTGTAAAAGCAATAACCCTGGCCAGCGCTGATTCTTCTGGGAGATGAAGGTAATTCATCCTGAGACTCATCTGAGTGTGCAAAATGACCCCCAACTTACACCAAGCTACTCATCAGACTGTACCTTTAAGTGCTTAATCAGATAGATTTTTTAAAAATAAAATTTATATCGTTTTTGGTGCCATCAGCCTAAACTTTCATGTATTATAGGTCTTTAAATGTAATCAATAAACTTGACCTATTCATGAATATAAAATATAATCCAGGACTCCCTGTTTGGGGAAACATGGTACAAGCAGTGATATTAGTCATGGACTGTTTAACTTAGTGCCATGTGCTTGTTCTCAACTGCCTTGTTTCAGGTTCTAATGGGCGTTTACCTCACTGTATTATTAGGTAGTCATGACATCCCTTTATTCAAGAGGTCAATATACTTAGAAAATCAATGCATACTGTGATAAGGAACACTGATTAAAAACATAGCATTTAATCAATCAAACAAATCAGAATCATAGCAAATAATTAGTTTGGAGTCAGAAGTTGATGAAGCACACCAGGTATGGTGGCTCATGTCTGTAGTCCTAGCTACTCAGGAAGTGGAAATCAGGAAATTGCAGCTGGAGACCAGTCTGGGCAAGAAATTAGTAAGACCCCCATCTCAACAAACAAGCTAGCTGTGGTGATGCCTGCCTGTCATCCTAACTATTTGGGAAATATAAATAGGAGGATTGTAGTCCAGGCTGGCCTAGTCAAAAATGTGAGACCCTATTCCAAAAACCAATGAAAGCAAAAAAGTCCGGGGGTGATAGCTCCAGTGATATGCATGCTTGCCTAGTAAGCACGAGGCTCTGAGTTCAAACTCCAGTACCACCAAAAAATAAAAAAAGCAGCTGAGTCAAGAAAAGGACGTAACTTGGTTTTCTGTCTCTTATTTCTCTATAAAACATTGTCAATACTGTGATAACATGCTGGGAATATTTAACTTCAACAAGGAAGTGACAATGTAGCTTGTGTATCAACTCCCTGTCTTTGACTCATGGCCCCTTTACAATTCTTGCCCCTGTTCCAGCCTGAAACCTTCCAGCCCTCTTGGTAGGTCTCTCAGTGCTGGGAGAGGCTGGAAGCTTCCTTCACTGGAAGGCCCTGCTCCAACCAGCTCTGCTCTTTTAGCTCATCTCCTACACACCATATTTCCTGCATTTGAATGGCTGTTTAGTCACCTCAATAGAGTGTTTTTCCCTTCTTTGTCCACATACTGACTGTTTGGACTTTGATTCCAACTCTGGCAATTTACATTATTTTTGTTGTTGTTACTAATTGTTTGCTTCTGTTTTAAAATAAACTTTATTTTTTAAGAGCAGTCTTAGGTTCACAGCCAAACTGAGCAGAAAGTACACAGTTCCCATATACTCTCTGCCTCACACATGTACAATCTCCCCTGCTCTCAAGATACTAGAGTGGTATGTTGCAAATGATAAATGATGAATCTACACTGACCATCATTATCACTCACAGTCCACAGTTTAGGGTTCATGCTTGGTAGTTTATGTTCTATAGGTTTGGACAAATGTATAACCTGTGTCCATGCTTATAGTATCATAAAGAATAGTTTCACTGACCTAAAGTGCTCTGTTTTTATTTTTTGTTTGTCTTTTAGCTTCATATCCCAATGTGGAAGGCCAGATCTCTAGCTGAAGCCCAGATCTGAGTCCTCAGCTTCAGGTGGGGTCCAAGAGCTTATTATTCAGAAGAGATTCAGTGTCATTATCCATTTCTCCCTGGTACAGAATGCTTCCTTGCACACATTCCTCTCTTCTCTCAGAGACTACTTCTACTACCCATGTTGGCGTTCATCATCTCTCTGGTTCCTGGGCCTCTAGTTTGACTCCTTTGCAGTTTATCTTGAGCTTTATCTCATGACCAATGTTTACAAAACATGGTTCATTATGTCATCATCTTGTTCACAGACCTACAATCCATCTTTAGGGCCTCTGAGATCAAATCTCAGTTTAGGTCTCCAGCAATCTTGCCCAACCCTCTTAACTATATCACTTATTCCTCAAGGCCCTTAACCAAAGTCCAGGCTGGTTTCCTCACTCTCTTGATGATATGCCTGCCATCCCTGTCTTATGAGCTCATGTTTTTTTCCCTGCCTGAAATATTCTGCTCTTGGCTCATTTACTGAATGCTCACTGAGTCCTATCATGAGCCAAATGTTACTATCCATTAAATTTTACCACTGCCAGGAGCCTTTCCCAGTAGCTTTGTCCATGCTCATCACTGTCTTTCAAAGCTTTCACACAGTACTTCTTGTTTACATACTTCTGGGCATTTAATTTCCTTTTCAGTGTATTGGGCTGTGATCATTGAACATGTGCAACTTGGTCATAGGCATATTTTCGGCAGGGATCATGCTGTAGACCTCTTTGGTTGTCCACACCCTGCAATTTTAGGCACATGACAAAGGTGAACGAGTCTTATTTAGTGACACTGAATTTGTTCTGAGCTTAGGAAAAGTGGTGTCTTCTGAGGGGGTGCAGCATCCTAGCCAATGAGCAGAGAGTGTCTCCATGGCAACTTGAAATTCTCCACATCATTATCTGCTCCATACTCTAGTATCTAAGTTTGGTCATTTTCTTTGTGCCCTGTTTTGTAGACCTTGCCACTAACAGATTGTCATTTCAAATGCATTTCATTCTCATAAAAAGCTTCTCTTGGCAATAAGCTATGGCAGCTTAGTTTTCACAGCCTTCTACGTTACCCTTATAGATGGTAGTGGCTCATAGTCCTTAATATGGGTACTTTAATCAATGCTGTTTTTATCTGCAGCACTTGAATGCATTTTTAAAACCCACTATGTTGGCTGAGTTACAGACTCACAGTAGTGCATGTAGGTGAGTAACACATCTAATTTTTGGCTATATCCTCGCAGCCACAATAGTAACCCACTATGCTGAAAGAAAACCAGGTACCATATGGGGGCCATTTATGAACACATTTGTTAGAATTCTCATTTTGCATATAATGGAGGGCTCACTGTAGTGAGCACTGAAGATTGCCTGAAGATTGGCCCATTTTCTCCTTTCAGGTGATTTTTAGTGGCACTCTCCTACATCAACCATTATAACGCCATTGGGACCAATGGGGCATCACCCAGCTTGTCCAGGAGGGCTGTGGATGCACGCCGTCTTAGAGGCGTCACTTCTTACAGCAATATAAAGTGGGTAGGGAAAGTAAAACTGCTGCCACCATTGTGGCAGCTACAGAATATAATACAACAAAGGTGTTCAAATAAAATCTATCTCAGTGTTCAAACAGATTTTTTCGTCTAATCTATTTTTTAAGCATTCAAAACCTAGAGTTTTTGTGTTTCACTTATGGAATAAAATTCTTCACAGTGATGGTATTTTATGATGATGCCCGAGCAGACCTAATAAAAGTTCAATTAAGCATCTAAATGTAACTGTGTGTCCTGTGCTCTTCTGAAACCCTGCTTGAGTGATCTAAAAGCCAGGATGTGGTCACCTGTATTTTTGTCACAAGAGCTCTGTGCAACAAAAGGGATCTGAGGACTTGATCCAAATAGGACATTTTCTTTTCTTTTCCTTACACTCCCATCACCGCCACCTACAAACACATGGACCTGGTTCTGAGCCGCCACAGGGTGCAAGTGACCCTATATTTTTTCTGGCACTAGTGTATTAAAGCAACCTTGCTTTTTGTTCTCCTTTGCGACTGTGAGAGAATTCAATGGTCTCCCACTGAGAGGCTGGCACACTACTTTCTGTAATTCCTACCTCTGTAAAAGACCGCCTCTCCGAGAGCCAGCCTGTTTTGTGCAAACTGGCAGGGATGATCACTCGGTGTGTTTGAACAAACAGGTTCCTCTGCATGGCAGAAACCAAACCATTTTCTTAGAGAAACCGAAATCCAAATCAGACAAAGAGGCAATGCAAAACCATATGAATTTATCATCTGACACCTGATTCAATATGTCATCTTGTCATTTGATGTACTCTGGAGGTGTTACTGTGCCCCCAGCTTTGGGGTGCTTTCCCCAAAATGAGTATTTTTTTCAATACACTGAGTAAGTGTATCATGATGCTATTTTTGTGGTGCTGGGGATCAAACTCTGGGCCTCCAGAGTTGTATCCTCAGCCCTCAGTTATCACTATTCGGTGGGGACATTTTGGAGTCAAAAACCTAGAGGTGCTGCTGTTGGCAGTCCAGGAACTTCCAGACTGTGTTCAGGCAGCAAGGATTCAAATACAGCCTTTGTTCCCATAACCTTGATGTTGACTGGGGCCCCAGAGTCACTGGAACTTGGCTTTTCAGAAGCATCAGCCTCATTCCTTGTGTTTCTTACAGGTCAGGTGCTCCTGCAGTGTGCATTTTCCAGGAATACACGAGCTAAGCCAGGCAGATTTTTTTTTTTTTGTTACTTAGTCAAAATCAACTTTCTGTTGAAATGGAAAATTATCAGTCTCATTATTTTATTTTTTTGGGTTTGACATTTAAAATAAAGAAATTTTATCAAATTCTGAAAGTTGTCAGAGAGCTCAGATTTCAATCAGGAAGATCTGCCCTTGTTCCCTCCAAGGCTAACTCAGTTTTTGTCTCTCTTTTCTCTTGTTCTGGTTAGAATAAAATAAGGACCTGGCTTGGAGACAGAAGATTTATGGAAACAATTCCCTGTGAACATACAGGGTGCTTGCAAGACAGGACAGAGTGGTCTAGTTTTGAGGTGACTTGGGAAGGGTCTCCCTCAGGACGGCAATGCCATGGTAAGGCCCTGGGAAGTGCCCTATTTGACTATAATATCACGTACTCAAGAATTTCAGTTGGTTTCCTTTGATTAAGTCACGCTGGGAGAGATCCGACCTTTTACATATGTGAATCTTCCCCTCTATAAAATTAAGATCCTTTTAACTATGAGACTACTGTGCATGATTACATTACAAATGTCAAGTCCCTGTTCCTTTCTCCCAGCCACATTTCACATGTCCATGGCCTTTAGTGCTGGGGACCAAGGGAGTCTTTCTGTAATGTGTGGAGGTTTGGGTAGTTGAGCTCCTGTTACTGGTGCCATGGGGACAGATGGGGCATTTGGTGAGCTGGCTGACTGTGCTAGTCTTGACTGATTCTTCCATGTAAAATATGGGCAAGAGACAGCACATCTTTCAGCGAGCAGCAGGCAGTGCTGGCACCCACATTTGCTGGTTTTCAACACAGCAGTATGGCTGGAAGGAACCATACGCTGGGGTTTTCCAGTCAAGCATTCACCACTGAATTCAGGACTTTTGTCAATTTTCTCAGGTCAAGAGCTCCCCTGTCACTAATTATGACACCAAGTAATTTATAGTTCATGGCTTTGCACTAAGATCAGTTTCTAGGCTTTGAGTTGAATCAAGTGCTGTCACTCATTGACATAAATTCTTACAGAATTTTTTTTATACAAAAGTTTGGTAAATACATCAGTGCCCAATTAATATTGTGGCTGTTGAGTAGTGAATGTCATGCCTTTGCTGAATGTCAGGGGAGGAGGAGCAGTCATAGGGCCATCAATCTGACCTTGCAGCCCCCCAAGAACAAGTTGACCTCCAACCCATCTTTAAAGTAAGTGTGATTCCATTTAGTTCATCTGCATTCCAAAGGCATGAACTAGTGCCTGTTTAATTGGTAAGTAGCATAGGAAAAGGGGCTTGGAAGCCTACGAATAATTTACCTACATGTATGTTTATGAAAGAAGAAAGAAAAAAAGAAAATCAAGGCCCTCTTCCTGGGAAGGTTATTTATAACTCACCTGTGTTCACTCAATAGTTGTTATTGACAGCCCACTGGATTTAGCTGTTGTCTGAATCACATATTTATCCAATCATTAATGAGTATTTATAATATAAAAAGATGTATTTACTTTTTTTTAAGCTACATAATGCAGCATTAAAACTCAAATGATACGGCATCTGTTACTTTTTGGATCACTATAACTGGATTTCCATCAATTCTAAATTCCTCTGGTGCTAATTACCTAGTCATTTCTTCCACTGGTGGTCTCTCTTTGGTTATTTTAGTGCTTGTTAATACCCTCAGTGAAGACAAGCCAAGGAAAGTGGCAGGAGCTGAGCACTTCCTTTGTTAATGAGGCTGCTGGTGGGGAAGTTGGGTCAGAGTAAAGGAGGAGTAAAAAGAGGAGGAAAGAAAGTGGGAAAAGAGGGGAAAAAAAGGAAAGGGGAGGAAGAGATGGGGAAAAGGGAGAAGGAAGAAGATGAGGAGGAAGTGAAGGAGGGAAGGAGGGAAAAGAGGAAGGAGAACAAGGGGATGAAGTGGCTGAAATCGAGTGATTTCACTCATGTGCCTCCCCTTCCACTGAAGAACTAAGAATTAATTATATCTTAGCTGTCACCCCTTAGTAGAAATTCATGTCAACTAAACCTGGGAGACATTTTACACAATTTTTACGTGACTTTGGTCTCTTGATGGGCACTATTTTTTACAGTTTAAAAGAAGAGATGATGCCATTTTGTTTTGTTCTTCATACTTTAAGAATCTTCCCACAACTTTCTAAGTTCAATGGTTGAGTGGCTGTTTGAGTTGTAGCTTTTACTGCTATGAATTTGAAATTAATTGGGACATGTGGTAATGGGAATGTCATATCTCTCTTTCCATATAATGACTGTGTAAAATCACACATACTGCTAATGGGCAGAACAAATGATGAGAGCTTCTTCATTGATAGAAATAGTGACAAAATTGTATTAGCTATGGCCCTAGCAGATTGAGAAATTTTCCTCCTGTAAAAAGTTCAAGAAACTATATAGGAGAGTATAATCCTTCAGTTGTTGGTGTTTCTGACTTAGCTTTCTGATCCATGCATTAGAAAATTTCTTACATTTATTTTTCCATGGGTTTCATGTTCCTGGGACTCACTGGAAGTATTTGGTGTTCTGAACACATTGATGTCTAGAGCTCCCTTGTTTGATCTTGTTGTTACTTATGACTTCCAAATGCAAATTTCCTTACCAACCATAACCCCCTATTTTCACAAATGGCTAAGGTTCTATTTTACACTATAGAATCCTAATTAAAATGCAGTTGACCACCAGCATGTACTCCCATCCCATGTCCTCTCTGGAGATCACTGACCACCTGTCATGCTGTGTAGCAAGAACAGGGGAGAAGTGGAATGGAGGGGAGGCAGTGAGGTCCAGAGACCAGCGTGTGTGGGGTCAGTGCAAAGTTGCAATGGTCCAGTTATCCTCCAATGTGTTCATTAAGTGAAACAAATCTGCATTTGGTTCTTGACCCACAAATTAAGCCCTAACCAGCTTATCAAAGTCCAAGTAACATTTGAAGACCACTTCCAGACCCTGGGGCGGTGGAGCTGAGGGTGGAGGGCATCGTTTTAAATTCTGCTGGGAATGGAAGCTGTACCCCAGCTTCTGTGCTAAACCTGGGTGAAGGAGGACAGGACACCTTTTCCTGTATGAGTTAGAACATTGCTATAAAGATATAGCATTTGGAGGAAATCAGCCTTTAGGGGTAAATCACAATCATTCTTTGGTTATTATAAGTTACAAAAACAGAACTACTTTTTCTAGAAGCAAAACACCACCAACAGCCTGAAATACAGGTGCATAGAAATGTAAGTCTCAATTGTGCCATTTGCCTGAACTTTCTGATGTGCCAAGCCCAGCAGTTCTGCCTATTCCATCTATTCAAATTCACACAGATTCAGGGGTACATGCAAAGATAGGGCTCTTTTTGAGAGGGACATTTAAGTGACCAAATCATGCAAGAGAAAATGGCTGCTCTGTAAACTAGATGCACAGACCTTTCTACCAGCACAGCATCCATTTTCTCCCACTTCTCACCATATTAGGAACGTCCAAACTTACATGTCATCGAAGACCAGTTTCTGCCTCTTGCAGTCTTTGTGGCCGTTGGAGCCTGGAGACCATGGCTCTGTTTGTGGCCGCGACTTGTTGTGGAGGAGACTGTTTTCGGAACTGTTGTGAGCTGCTTTCTAAACGACAAATAACACAGGAATCTTTGAGACACTGGCCACTAGCTAAAAGAGCAACCCATTAAACAGAACGTCTTTTGTTCAATAGAATGTCATGTTCTGTGTTAGAATTGAAAGTGGTTTTGTCTCAATAAAGGAAAACTAATACAGGTGAATTATCCCTTGTCCAAAGTGCTAGAAACAGAGTGTTTGGGTTTGGGATTTTTTTTTCAGATTTTGGAAAATTTGCATATACATAATAGAGGATATTTTGGGGATGGGACTGAAGTCTAAATATTAAATTCATTTGTATACTTTTTTTTCAGTTCTGGGGTTTGAACTCGGGGCTTCATGCTTGCTAGTAGGTGCTCTACTGCTTGAGTCACACCCCACCCCTTTACTGTGGTTATTTTGGAGATAGGGTCTTACTTTTTGCCCAGGCTATCTTGGATCATGATTCTCCTTTCATGCTTCCTGTTGTAGCTGGGATGACACATGCATGCTACCTTGCCCAGCTTTTTCCTGTTGAGATGGGGGGGGTCTCACAATTTTTTTTTTTTTGCTTGTCTGGCCTCAAACCTCAATCCTCCTGATCTCAGCCTCCCAACTAGCTAGAATTACAGGTGTGAACCACCAGTGCCTGGTGATGGTAATTTTATATAATTTTTGTTTGTTTTCATTTTTCCTGTTATTCTTTTTAAAATTTCTTTATTAGCATATAATAGTTGTACATGAGGATATACTGTGATATTTACATAAGTGTTTCAAATATCTTAGTTGGATTTACCTCTTCCATCATTCTCCCTAGCCCCCGCCCCCCCGCTGCCTTCTTAGAACTGCCTTCAACAGTTTTCATACTTCTATTTTTATACATGAATAAAAAATACGTCCACTACATTCACCCTTTCCTTATGCCCGCCCACCCCTCACTGGTACCCACCCCTTGAAAAGACCTTTTAACCTCCTGCTATTTTTTAATAATTTTGTGTTTTGGCTATGTTCTATCACATGAGGTTAGGTGTGTGGAATTTTCCACTGGTGTATCATGTTGGTGTTCAGCAAATTTTGGATTTGGGGGCACTTGGGATTAGGGATGCTCAACCTGCATATGCATTCTAGATTTTAAACTGAGGGATGTAGCATTTGTTGTCAAACGTCTTTCTTATAACAGTATCAAAAGGGAAGCCTTATTGTGCTTACTTTCACAGAATGGGAAAATGAGACTTGGTAGGTTAAGCAACTTGTTCAGGTTCAAATAGCTATTTTGGGTGGAGGCCCAAGGATTGGGCTCAGGTATATATTTTTCCTAGTCTGTAGATCAATGGTTGGCTAAGATAAGCACAGATCAGAATCATCTGGAAGCCTGTTATAACACAGATTCCTGGGCTCATCCTGACAATTTCTGGTTTAGCAGGTTTGGGGTGGGGTCTGAGAATCTGCATTTCTCCTCCCACACCTTCTTTTTTTGAGTCAGGGTCTTGCTATGTAGCTCCAGCTGGACTTGAACTCTTGATCCTTCTGCCTCAGCCTCTTGAGTGTGGGTATTTCAAGCATACACCACCATGCCTGGCTATGAAAGTATGCACTTCTATCAAGTTCCCAGATGATGTGATGCTGATGTGCTGGCCCAGTAAGCAAGGGTTTAGAGTGGCCTTGCTGTAACTGTCCCTCACAAGTGGACTGGTTCTCTTAAGTTGTCTATGAAGAATAGACGAAGCCAAAGGGAATCACTAGGAATTATTTAAAATATGTTTAAAAGAATAACATGTTAATCTGTGCAAAAAAATCATAACCCCAGGGGACACAAATACTGATATAGCAACTATTGTCTGTTATCACATGGATCATAAAGCAATTGTCTTTGGTTGCGAAATGCAAATTATTTCCTCTGAAGTGACGGAATATGTACAAATGCTTCTTTAAATATGGACCAATTTTATTCATAACAGTTTTTTCTCTTTTTAAGAACTTTATTCTTTATTTTTTCATGTATAACATTTTAAAGTTTAGATTCTATTGGTACATATGACCAGGAAAATTAGATTGTTGTATTTCTAAAACTGTTCTTAAAAAAATCCTTCGGTGCTGTCCACTTAGTTTTGGAAAAGGAGAAATACCAGCAAAGTGGCCTGTACAGCCCGAAAGGCTGGCCCTTGCCTACCTTCCCACCATGCTCTCCTGTGCTCTCTGTCCCTAAGACCCAGAGGCCAGTTTTCACTTCTTCTTCAGGACCTTTGCACATGCTGCTTCCTTTGCCTGTAATTTCTTTATCTCTTACTTCACTGTTATTTGCCTTTTATAGATCTTATATCATGGGTCAGCAACGCATGGCTTGTGTGTCAAACCTGGCCCCTTATATAAATAAAATTTTATTGGAAACCAGTCATGCCTGTTTGTTTACATATAGTAGAAGACTGACTACATTCCTGCTCTAATGGCAGAGTTGAGTAGTTATGAGAGAGATTGTGTGGTCTACAAAGACTTCAATTGTTTATTATGTGACCCTCTATAGAAGCCATGCTCAACTGGGGGGTGTGGGGTTGGCAATATTTGCAGACAAATTTGGGTGTCACCACAAGAAGTGGGTGGAGGCCAGGGATGCTGCTAGATATCTTACAGTGTGCAGGACAGACCTCACCTTGAGGCATTACCCAGTTCAGAATGCCAACAGTATTGAGAAATCCTGCTTTACAGAAAGTGTTTGCTGATCCCAGTACCAGATCAAGCCTCTTTAAGAACTCCTTGTTCTCTGTAAGCTTCCTTTCTGGCAGTAATTATGATGCAATTTTGGATGCATGTGATCCCCTATCTAAGGCTCTCTTCCCAGCTAGACTATGAGCTTTATGTGAGATGGAATCTGCTGGATCATTGTTTATCTCTGGGGCTTAGCACAGTGCCTGGCCAATGAAAAGAACCTGCTCAGTAGGCATCTATTTGGTGAATGAATGACTATATAAAACTTGTAAATGATTTATTATTCTCTGTATAACATAGTTGCCTATGATATAAGGATCTAAAAGCAAAGGAAAAATTTGTTTTGTTTAGTTTTAACTTGAATTGGGTAGCTTTCTGTTCCATGATTTTCTAGTACTGTCTTTCTGGATTCTTGCAGCCTAGCGTTAAAGACAGATCCCAAATAAGGATGCAGTAAGCTAAGTTCTGAGGATGTGCTAAGATTTAGACTCCTGTAGGACCTTCTGCCAACTTTCTTGCACGTTTAATTCTTAGGATAAAGTGTTAAGTGCTACCTCCCTCTCAGAACTTCCTCTGCACAATCCTATCCTCAAGTCTCCTCCTTCTTCAGCCTCACAAAGCACTGCTGCTTTTGATAGGCACAGTGATGTGGGAGAACTCAGAGTCTGGAATTAAAAAATGCCACAGAGAGGATGAATCGTCCAGGCCACCACCTGTTAGAGGTGAGCAAGGCAGTGTTGAGGAACTCATATGGAGTATTAGCTGCATCTGTATCTAGAGGGGCTGGGGTCTTTACAGAGTGTTGTCTCTATTAGTCAGACTACTTCCATTTTTGCAGGCAAGGAAACAGGCTCAGAGAGATCAAGCAACTTGCCAAGATCATCCTGCAGCTAAGTTAGGAGCCCAAATGGTGTAACTCAAGTCTAGTTGTGAACCTCTGCTCCTCCCCAGGGGAGTGCAAGGGCTACCCATGAGGATCCCTGGAAAAGGGGTGAAGTTGGAGCCACCCACTGTGGCTACTCCCCTAACCAATAGGGTAGAATGGGAGTCCTGCAGATTTTGGCATGAACTTCACCCCCAAATTTAAATGTTATGGGTTAAAGGCATTTTTCCCAATATAGAGGCTGGTTGGTTCAAAATTCCCAATTTGGTTTGCCCGGGGGTGGTGTTACTTTGGGGTCTGAAATCCTGCCAGGAGGCTTCATAAACAGAAGAGACTTGGAATTCCCCTGTGGGTGGGTTTCTCTTTCCTCCACTCGTGGGGAAGGGTGGTATCCTCTCTGCTGCCAGGTGTCCTCTAAAGATGCCTTCAGGGATTCTCTGCAGGACCTCCCTCAGGAGTGTAGACTGTGCCAGGTTAAAGACAAAATGTGTGTGGGGAGAGGGAGAGGGTGCATAATCTCACTTTGGTTTTACTGGGCTAAAGAGGGCACATCAACCAACCGTGAGGTCTCCGGCATGCGACTGCAGCTGGCTGTCAGCCTTAGGTTTTTTGTTGGAAGAGACAGAAGTGAACACACCATTGCCATGAGGTCGGCTGGAAGAAGTCAAGTCCTCGCTGGAATATTTGTGTTTGGATGCATCAGAGAGGGGAGAGATGGGTGACCGGAGCATTTTTTCATTTTTATTTATTGGTATTGCCAAGCTGAAAAAAAGAAATTATAGTAATGAAATGTCACACAGTTGGCACAGGGAAAGGTAAATGTTTTATATATGATCCAAACCTCCCATTTAAGACCTGCTGGTAGAAAAGTGTCTATTGGGAATTTATTATACCAGGAGCAATGTTAAGGCATTAGAACCACAACAAACAATAAGCAAATCTCACTCATTGGTTTCTTTTCTTTACTTTTCCATCAGGATGTATAGTAATTTTGGAGCTAGTGTCAAAATATATTACCAGGAATAATAATACTTTTGTGTGCTAAGTTTTTCATCCAAGGATCTCAAAATGCACAACAAATAACTTTTTCTCCTAACAAGCATGAGCAGCAAGTTGTAGGAGCTAATCAACAATGATAAGTGAATTCTCCATTTCTAAAGGGCTTTTGCCAAATCTAAGCTGTAATAATTACTATACAGAAAACAAGAGAATCACAGAATAAGCTGCAAAGCAGGGAGCCAACATCGAATTGAGTTTCTGAATTGACCAGGCATTGATCAGAATAAACACAGAATACAGAACCTGTTATTAGGAATCACAACTTCTGCTGGGCATGGAGGCACTTGCCTGTTGTCTATAATCTCAGTACTGGGGAGGCAATGGCAGGAGGATCACAAGTTCAAAGCCAGTGTGGACTACATAGCAAGTTCCTATCTCAAACAAAACAATAAAACAAAACAACAAAAAAGAGAAATTGCAATTTCTGATTCCTAGCTCCTTACAGTACTTTCAAAATGGTGGTCTATTACTGAATATAATGTTCTCCAAAATCAACCATCAAAGAAGAGGGACTCATTTCTATTTAAGTCTTTATAATGTATACTATATTGTTAGGGCTCTGTTATTTCACTTTGGAGAAAAAACAGTGTTGTTTAGGGCAGACATATTAGTTTGAAATAAATCCATTCACTGCTAATTTAAGATACTTGTACAGGTCACCTGATACATTTTACAAAAAAAGGTAATGCCATTTAACAAAGATTTAGTCATTATTCCTGGGGTTATGATCTCTTAATTGCATGTGTTGGTTATCACTGCAAACAAGCCATTAAAGTCACTTCCAAAAGCAATTTCCTTAGCTGGTGGTCACAGTGGAGAAATTACAAATGTAGGCTTGTAGAACAAATGGCAAAGCCAAGTTCTTAATATATGCAAATAGATACATGTGGAGATAGAATTTCTGGTTCCAAAAGCATTGAGTTTCTGACAGGTTAGAAAGAAATAAGAAGATACATTATAGAAAACTGCTCTGGATGAATCAAAAGTGGCTCATCGAGTGATGGAGAAGAGGCTGGTGTTGAAGATGGATGTGAAGAGCCAGAATGGAATTATTTTCTGATATGTGAGTGAATATGACCTATTTCTAAGTGTCCATCATTTTATATACTTCATGATTTTTACTGTGGATGGAAAACAAATGACAACACTTAACATAGACACAGACATATGATTGTTCTTCATCACTAAAGAGCTCCTCTTTGGGATGGGTGACAATCCTGGGATTGTTTTATTATGCTGGTAAAACCTGATAGTAGTAATCACAATTCCAGGTGTACCCATTCTACCTTCCCCCTAAGAACTCTGTGCACTTTCATATACATTGTGCATTATTATTTAACATAAGCAAAGCTTTCAGAGCTGAGAGGCTCTGCCAGGCAAGGTCTCTAGAGCAAGAGTTTTTAACTTGAGGTTCATGAACATGGATGGCAAAAAGTTATTATCTTCATTTTTACCTGTTTCTCACTGCAATAGAATGTTTCCTTAAATTACATGTGAGGGCAACAAACCAGAGGAATGGTTAAGTTGGAGTCATAATAGCAATCAATACCTGTGATTGTGTCTTTAGTAGAAATCACAGGTATTTTCATGTCATATCACACTTGTTGCAGACAGACATCTTGAAATATTGTTTACATTCATCACTACTTGGCAATTATGGTTTTCACTAGATTGGCTAAGGTTATTTAATGCATTAACAAACAAAGGTATATTTAGCTGTATCACACATTAAAAAATATTTTGGTGCCATAGACCAACCATTTCCATTTTTCCAGGATCCTCTCAGCCCAGAGCACTGTGGCTGGCTATCTTTGTACACAGTTGTCCCTGTGCAGACCTTCAGCATCCTGGCCACCTTCCCAAGGTGATCCTGATGCTGCAGTGGACCTGTGTGCGTGTGCCCTTGCTCTCCAATTTCCTCTCTGAGTTTTAGTACCGCACTCCATCTTTTCCTAACCTTTCAGTTTACGTCTTTATGTGTTGGGCTGAAACATTAATCTCCCCTTAAAAACCTTCTGTGTACAGTCAGGGAGAGTGAGGAGTGTCACAGCTGAGGAAAAGCAGGTCTATGCCAAGGTGTTTCTAAATGGAAAAGCTTCTGTGACTGATGCTAAGCTACTCACTTTAATGAAAACCTGGGACCTTGCCTTGCTGGAGAACTGTTTATCACAGAGGGGGATTGGTGCATGCTGGGGCCATTTACAGCCTCTTTTGAGGAGTGACTGGGTGGCTGCTTGACCTTGGAAGAACAGATCCTTTTTAACTCTGCAATTTTAGCTTCCATTCAAGATCTGTAGGTGCATCACTTGCAGACTCCACTCAAAGTATCTATTTCCATCCTTGTAATAAGTTTAATGTTCTTATGGGTTTAACAGCTACCATTAAAATATAGGCCTGCAAGTTCAGTTATTAAGTTTTTTGGGGGAAAGAAGTATGTTTGGGGAGTACAGAACTGTTCTTACCTAGTTTTGGTTACACAGAAGGGCCTTACATGGCTATCAAGAGCTATGGTGTGAGGCTCCCATCCAGCCATAATTGTAAGTCTTCAGTTAAACCAAGCGAAGCAAGTGTGCAGAAACTGAGACTAGAACAGACATCAAAAATTCTGACTCTCCCCCACAATATGGCATGTGACTTTCAGATCCAGAGACTCCTCTGGCTAATGTCCATCTTCCAGGGAACATGCTTACCTGTTGATATTCATGTTGCAGTGGTTCACAGACAAGGTATTAGTGGTAGAGGTGGTGAGTCTCAAAGAGCTCTCTTTCTCTCCCTGGGTCTTCTTCATCTCCCTGTAGTCATCTTCATTGTCACACTGAATAGGAATAAGCAAAAGCCAAACTTGACTTTTCCTGTGCCTGTACTTGAGCCCTTTCTTGGGATGAAGGATAAGTCCTGAACTGATACTGAGAAGAGGGAGAGGCTGAACAGGGCCAAGGATACCAGGGGGGCTGAAGAGCAGGCAGAACCTATCCTGCAAAAACTGGTAGGAGGAGGAATATACATGTTCTGTCATTTAACAAAACCCAGATTCAAAAAGATAAAATGAATAATTTCAATATGGCAGCTCCAGCATTATACTCCACAGGGCTCTGTGTGACTACAAGGCTTATGAAGCTGGCCCTGGAGGAGGTGAGTGGTAAAGATGGGACGTGAGGTTAGGTCAGCCTGGCATCAAAACTCACACACTTTCTACTATGTGAACACTTTCAGGGCAATTCAGATCCACCATGGGGGTCTCTGCAGGTTAATGGACAATGGTGAATGAAAACTATGCTGGGGTTTGTCTTTGCATATGTACCAAGAGAAAAGGCAAGTTGCTTTTTGAAGATACTTCTTTTCTTGCAAGGTTTTAAAATTGTGCATTATAGGGATAAGTTATTTACTGCTACCATGTGAAGAAACACATTCTTTGGGAAATGACACAAACTGACACAGGCTGACATCTTATCGTGAAGACTCTGAGGCCACAGAGCCATCCAGGTTCATTTCTGGCTCTGCTCCTTTGACCTGTACAACCCCAGGCAAGATACCTTAGGCTCTCTGAGCTTCAGTTTCTTCACCTGTAAAATAGGCGTGACAATAATTTTGCTTCATAAAGTTGTAAGGGCTAAATGATTAAATATGTATAAAGTACTTAGAACAGCATCCCTCTGAAGGACATCTTAACTGCTGTTGGTAATAACTTTGTACTACATTTGGAACCACCTATGAGTGTTACAACCTTTGGTTTGTCACCTACTGCATTTTTCACAGTGATCCAACTTGCTTTTGAATGCAGCAATGGTAGAGAATAAAAATCCTCAAAACTGGCTTTGTGTTATGATGAAGGTATTTCCCTCCTCAGAAACTGTCAAAATTGACTGCACATTCAGCCATCAGTGGCTAGAGGTGGCTCAGCTTTCCTGGTACTTGAGCTGCCTTTCTCACTCTCACACCTTGCCTGTCTAGCCTCTTCATCTCTTATGGTACCAACTTCATCCTGGCCCTCTGCTTATGCGAATGTCCCTCCTCCTCAGAGCCCTGTTCCCAGCTCCTCTCAACACTGTGGGAAACAACACCTCCCAGCTCTGATGCCACAGGTTAGCACTTCCCTGATCATCCTCCACCCAACTCACGGCTTTAAACTACTGGCTTCTTAGGTGGATGAATGAGCCCACCATTAGTGTCACCCCAGCAGAGAGAATGGGGTTCACCACACATTGGGCTTTCTCACACAAGCAGCTTGCCTCTGTGCACACTCCATAAATATTGCCTGTATGGCTATTTCCACATGCATTGGGGACAGAGCTTAATTATCCATGATTATAAAATGGGAACAAGAATGATTCTTGCCCCATTGAGCAGTCCTCAGGATTTAACTGAGATTATGTGTGTCAAGCATTTCCAACAGTATCTACATATACAAAGTACTATATAATTATTAAGGACACATGAAACTCCTGCTGCCACCTACAGTCCAGACCAGCTGCCTACCTGTGCTCTACCCCGTGCCCACAAGCTAGAGGAAGGCCCCTCCCCTGCCGGCCCTCTGTTATAGGCCTACCTTGCGTTTCCTCTTGGATTTTGGCAAAGCCTTTTCTGCAGGTGTATCTAAAGTGTGGCTGGGTGGTGCATTCTCAGGGTCCTTGGCCGCAGGAGCACTCAAGACCCCTGGCTCTTGGGGCAGGTGTTCTGGGATCCTGGACAAGAGGGTCAAGTCAATTTTGACCCAGAGAGACCTGACCTCATCACTGTCCTTCAGTGGGGAGAGAAGTTCGTTTCTGCCGAAGGGGACCAGCGTGTAGAACTGCTCTTCCAGCTCCTTGGCTATGTCACTGGTGGTCCTGGCGTTGATGGAGCCTACAGAGGCCCTGGGACCTCCACCGCTGCTGACACTGTTGGCAGCCTCCTTCAGTCTCTGGTCACTCCCGGAGGCAGCGGGAGCGGCGGTGGCCACGGTCTGCGCTTTGGTCAGAGGGTACTCCTCCTGCTCAGACTCCAGGTCCGAGTCCGAGGAGGAGGATGAAGAAGAGGACTCTGTGTCAATGAACTCCTTGGATTTGGGGACGATCCTGCTCAGCCCCCGCGTGCGCCGCTTCTCGCAAGTCACGGAGGAGCGCAGCTCCTTGCGGTGACTCGTTCTGCTGTTTCCGCAGGGCCTGGTTTTGGGGGGCTCTGGGGGTCCCCCGCGCTCGCCCCCAGCGCGTCTGCGGCCGTGGGCTCCTCCGGCCGGTGGCAGTTGGCGCCGTCCCCGGCAGAGGTCCGCTCGGTGCGCCTGGTGGGCTTCTTGCCCGCCGACCTCCGGGCCGGCGCGGGCGCGCTCTCTGCGGGCGCACCGGGCACCGCGGGCGGCGGGGCAGCTGCGGTCACCGCCACGGCCACGGCCGCGGACGGGGACTTCTGCTTCACTCCTTTGCTTCCCGGGGCCTTGTTCGCAGTCCTGGGCCTCTGCTCCTCCTTGCAGGCACTCTTGATTTCCTTCTCTCTCAGGCTGGTTTGGCAAATATCAGTAAGTTTCCCACAGTCTTGCCCTTCATCTTTCACCGGGGTGTAGTATTGATTGCTCTCTGGCCCGTGACTTTCGTTTTGGATCAGAATAGGAGGCTTGTGGGGATTAACTTTGTTTAGCCATTTATCCAACTGCCACTTGTTAGAGGACGCTGGTTCAGCCTGAAAGCAGAAAACCCGCGACAAACAAAACATCTTTTATTTACAGGCTCACTTAAAACGGACCTGGCTGTTTTTATCTTGACGTACTCCTCTCGGTGTATGAGCAAAACATGATGGGGCTGAGAAAAAAGTGGGAAACGGAAGCCATAGGTATGCGTGGCAGCACTCCGGTGGCCCTCAGGATGCCCAGAGTGCTGCCCTAACTGGCCCTTGGCACTTAGGTATCAGTGCAGTTCCAAGTTCACTTGGAAAAAAAAAAAAATAAGGGATAGCAGTGTGCCTCATCAGAACCCCATTTGTGAGAACTAAACTCAGAAGTGTTAAACATATATATGTGTGCATGTGTTTATATATTTATAGTTATACAGTTATATATTTATAGTTAAACATTTATATATTTATAGTTATACATTTATGCATAAACTAAGATTCCATGAAACCTGACTGGGGAATAATAGTTTGGAAGCTTTGAGTATTAAAGCACTTTTTTTTTGTTTTTGTTTTTGGGTGACACTTAATACTTTGGGGGAAATATAAGCACTTATGGTCCCAAAGAATGAGCATAATTTATGTGGAAATGGCAAGCAGGGTACACATGTTTAATGGTGGAAGCAGTAACTTTGGGAAGATGGCTTTAGCAGCAGAGAAGTCCTGTTTCAAAGGGATGTGCATGTGTCCTGTTCATTTTGGCAGCCTGGCTTGGTGAGTCCATCCTCAGCCTGCTTCTGTTACACTTTGCCAGAAATGTTCAGACACAGAGGTGACACGGCAACCTTTCTTGCAGGCAGCTTTGCTAACTTAGGGCAAATCATGTATATCATTGATTTTAACTCCAGCCCACAGATTAGTCTGGGGGGTGGGGAACAGTGAATGCCCTGAAACAATAGGAAATGTTGTATAGATAGATACCTCCCCCACAAAGAGGTCCATAGTTTTGAGTTGAGTCTCTAAGGATTTTATTCAAAAAAGGGTTAAAACTCAAGATTTTATAGGGAGTACATGCCAACCAACTCCTAATAAAAAGTCAATTTACATGACATTAGGATTATTAATAGAAAAGAGGTGAAATATTGAGAAGTGTAGAATGTGAGCCAGGGTATTTTCAGTTTGAGACTATAAGTGAAATGGGGAATATATTTTAAAGGATCAAGGTGATGTATTTTCCTTTTGTATGGCCTTCCCCTCTCTGAATCTATGGCATCCATTGCTTCATGGGGACACCAGATACCAGCCTAGAAATAAGGAGATTGCTTGACTTCTTTTTTTGGGTGGGATGGGGTGCTAAGGATCCCATCTAGCGCCTCTACATGCCAGTTATGCAACACACTGAACAACAACCCCAACCCCTTTGCTTCTTATTTCAAACTTGATCAATTGAAGTCTAGAGCCAGAGCCAGTCAGGTCTTCCTGTGGGAGAAAAAAACTGTTTTTAATGTAAGAAATTCCAAAAGTTTCCTTTGATGTGTCAAGATTTGTTTTTCAATAGTGAGGTCCATATCAAGCACAGAGCTTGGGGTTCTGGGTATAGTTACAGCTCTAAGAGGAGTGAAAAGAGGGTTGTGTCTGAGACATCAGGGTCTTGGCTGAGCCTAGAGGAGTCTGGGGTATAGCTTAGGGAGATGGGAAGCCTTTGGGGGGCCAGAAAAGGTAGAGTCACAAGGAACTGACCATATAGTAAGGGTATCAGCCAACCAGAGCTGTGGCAGGGACTGTGGATGTCCTGCTGGTGGCAAATAGAAGAGACTAAATTACACTGCAGGGAAGACTGGCACAGGGTGTCCAGTGACTTAGAGGGGATGGAGGATTTCCAGTCCTGCTCCTGGGGCTGTAGGAAGAGAGAAGATTCATTCTGGAACACAGGGACAAGAGGGAACACCCTAAAGGCCTTGACAGGTAGTCTGGTCTCTGACTTGACTTTTTGTTTAGTTTGTTTTCATGCTACCAAAAGAACCAAGGCTCCAGAGCAAGAAAAAGATATACCAGTTAAGTCTTCTTTATCTGAAACTCTTGGGATTAGAAGTATTTTGGATTTGGGATTATTTGTCCAAATACACACTGTATTTATACACACTAAGGTAGTTTAGGAATGGGACCCACATCTAGATATAAAATTCCTCGATGTTTTTCATATGCCCATTATACACATAGCCTGAAGGTAATTTTATATGCTATTTGTAAATAATTTTGTGCATGAAACAGAACATCATGCTGTGGGATTTTTTGCTAGAGGATTCATGTCAGCATTCAAAGTTTCAGATTTTGGAGCATTTCAGATTTTGGAGTAGGAATGCTCAACCTGTCTCTTTTTGTTAATTCTGAGTTTTTTAATGTAATTCTCATTTTATTTTGGCTTCTCCAGAGAAAGAAAAGAAGGGAACCCTACAGAGCATGCCTGGTACGGTCTGTAGTGGTAGATGCCCTCCTGCAGCCAGATGGAGCAGGGCAATGGAACACAGAATAGCTTCTTGCTGAGGGATATCCTCACCTTTCCTGAGGTTAGTTGTGAATGCCTGAAAGTTAATTTGGTGGCAAACATCCATGGCTTTTATTTTTGCCTCCCCATTACCATTTTCCTCATTATGTAATCACAGGAGAGGCAGTACCTTCTGTTGTGCCTCAGCTTCCCTCGAGAAATGGTACCCGGTATGTGGGCCTGGGGGGTCAAAGGGGACTTGCAGAAGGGGGCACATTTCAGAAAGGGCTCACATGCTGGGGAAGTGCACAGCACTCACACAGCCTAGCACTGTGTTTAACAATTCTCCATCCCAAGCCTTACATAGCTCCCATCTCTTATGTGAGAGAACACGGACATTTATTTGTAGCCCAAAGACAGCTGCTCATGGGTAGAGTCACACTGGAACTTCCTGGCGGGAGCGTTAATGGTGAATGGCAGAATTTAGTACATTCAGGATGGGGCCATTGCCTGATGCACACTAGGGTCATTTTCTCTGCACTTCACAACTGAACCAATCAGTCTGAAGTATCATTTTCAACACATCACTAAATCACATTCCCTTTTTCAAGGATCTACAATAACCTCCTATTGCCTCTCAAATGAAATCCAAATTTCCTCGGCTGGCATTCAAGGGCCATCATCTTGTCATCATTTTTCATTGAAGGAACACCCACAATATGTCTCTAAATTTACATGTACTATCTAATTTAATCTTTACAGACAAGAAATATTATCTTCCCTAATTTGTAGATGAGGCTCAGGGAGGGTAAGTGATATGTCTATACAGCTTGCAGGCTCCACCAAGACTAAATTCAAACTTGCCTAGGTACAAAGACCAAATTCTTTGCACTATTGGCTCCTCTTATCTCCCAGTCCTCTCTGGTGTAGCCTCATGAAAAGGAACTTCAAAGATTCCTTTGAGAAAGGTCAGTATTTGTGATGGTTAATCTTGATAGTCAACTTGATTGGACTGAAAAGTGCCTAAGAGATTAGTAAAGCCCATCTCTCAGTTTTTCTGTGAGGGCAATTCCAGAGAGGATTAACTAAGGAGGAAAGACTCACACTGAATGTGGGTAGCACCATCTCATAAGCTGGGGCCCCAGACGGAATAAAAGGGGGAAAAGGAGAAAGCCTTCAAGCACAGGGTATCCTCTCTTTCTACTTCCTGGTCACCATGATGTGAGTTGCTGTGCTATGCCATACTCTCTATGCCCTGATAGACTGAAGCACTGAAACTGTGAGCCACAATAAATCTCTCCTTCCTTATTTCACTCAGGTATGGGTTATAGCAATGAGAAAGGCTAACACTTTTTTCAACCTAAAATGATAGCATTAGATCTAATTTTATTGGCAATAACACCACCAACCCTCCAAACAATGCCTGTTGCTCTCTATTACACAAAATAATATGCATTTATTTATTTTCTTTGAGATAGGTCTCACTCTATAGCCCAGTTTGGCCTCAAACTCATAATCCTCCTGCCTCAGTCTCCTGCCTGGCCACAGCATAGTATATTTGCCTTATGTCTTCAACAAAGCCTGATATTCCTTTCTGGCCAGGACCAGGTCTCTGTTTCTTTCTCATTTCTTTGCAGAATCCATACTAGTTCTGTGAGGCCAATTGCTCTGACTCTTCTCACAATGAATAAGCTGTCACCCAAACTCTATCATTTGTTCCTCATAACTAACTCATAGATTAGTCAGCAATATCCACCATTGTGGAGAGGAGGCAATTGTGGCCAGGGAAGCTGAAATGAATTGAACAGTAACATAAAGGGAGAACCCAGGGCTTCAACCCTAGCCCACCTGCACTGGTAATGGCCCACTTCTGGAGCTGTCTACCCTAGACAGCTCTGTCCAGTGTTTTACGGTTTCCTGGCTTACTGCTTTATATGTTCAGCCATAGTCTCCTCCCTCTGCAAAAGCTCTCCTCCATGTCCCTGCTTCATCTATATCCTCACAGCACCCTCTGTCATGTACCACAGAGGCTTACTGTAACAATGAGAGATGTGCATCACATTTCTGTTGATTTATGAGAATGATCTGGTGCAGCATTTCCTAAAATGTGCTTTTAGTTCATAAATTCCATGAAGAAAGGTTGCCATGGTTGGATCTACTTGGGAAATGTCACAATGGAAAATGGAGTTCACGTGAGCAATATTTAGGGCTTAGGGATGACTTATGCAAAGAAATGGAGTCATCCTACTTTATCCCAGAACACAAATAATGTGGCCAGGCTCCCTCTCCCCCTCTTACGATCTGGGCAACCCTTGGTGAGGGAGGTGTTAGTATGCCAGCTACATGGAAAGGCAGCTTGCCCTGGGGAAGCTATGGCATGAGAAGGCCCATAATGCCAGGAAAAACAGTGAGATAAAACTCACATGACGAAATGAGGCAGAGAACAGCATAGCATGTAACAGGCCCTAGAGAGGGGATTCCCAGCCATGGAAATGTTGACAAAGGTGCTTTCATGCTAGCTTGTGAATGTTGCCTTACTATACTTTGGTGATTCATGTCAAATGAAGTGACTTTCAGCCATCGAGGCCACAAAGAACAGTTCATTTGAAACTCAGTGGAGCACAGTGGGTTTTCCAGCACTGGCACAGTGAGGGGAAGAATGCAGGTGCCTCTGAACATCATGAGTGCCTCCTATTCCCAAGTCAGGATGGTCTGAGAGGGGTGGGGAGTGAGGCCAGGATTGTTTTGCTTCACGGTAATACAACCTGGTCTAAGCAGTGAAATGTGAGGTATGTGGCTGTCAGGAGATTCTCTGTCATATGGGGTTCAGGAACACAGGTCTGCCTGCCTTCAGCAAGGTGATCCAGGCTCTTAAGTGATACAGGGAGGCTATGGAAGATAAGCAGGTTGTGCTGCTTCCCATCTGCAAACCCATTTCCTTTCTATAGGTTTGTGCCTATAATAACCTTGACTTTTATTCTAATCACTAGATCCCTTTCCAGCAGAAAGGGCTAATGTGCAGCATGGCTAACTTACCACTTGCCACTGTTGCATGCAGAAGCACAAAAGTGAAAATCTCATGTGCCTTCCCAGGAGCTCAAACTTCTAGGGCCTCTTTAGCAGATTTGTGTTTTCTTTCCTTAGTGAGAGGCCTCTGATAGCTGCTGCAAACAATGGCAGAAGTCTGTTTTCATCACCTGGGAGCTCCATGCCCTGTGATGATCTCCAGGATTTTTAGAAAGAACTTGCTTAAAGCACTTGGTAATCATACTGTTCTTAGCCAAAGTTCAGCCAAGGTCCTGAGCCCTAAGGTTCACTTTGCAGCATGAAAATGACACTCAACACTGGTGAATTTAACTCGCAAAATCACAAGGAGAGCCTGGACAGGGTGGTCTTCTCACATCATCACCCTTTTTAATCCATCCCCACACCCTGACTCTTGTACTGCCTCTGGGACTCAGGTATTCCTTATAACTAGATATTCTGGAATTTCTCAACAAGTTATAGCATAAGAAAGGCTTTAATAAAGCCTGCTTACCTCCTCTACTTTATTCTATTTAACTCCTGTATATTTCTCTTTCAAATGATACCATTAGAAGGTTAGCTCTAGGAAGACGGGCATTTTCTGTCATGTTAACTGCTTTATTCCCAAGCCAAGCACAGTGTCTGTGGCTGGTTGCTCAAGAAATATTTGTTGAGGGAACACCGAATGAGTGAATGACTTATGAGGGAAGAATAAAAATTAGGTTTCTGGGAAAAGCCAAGGTTAAAATAAGCTACATGGCTTTTACAGATTGATGTTGTTAAGGGCCTTAACCTTTTAAGAATAGAAAGGGATAGACAGATAGATAGATAGGTAGATAGACAGACAGACAGGGAGGCAGGAACTTTATGGAAAGGAGAAAAGATGCTGGAGAGAAAGCTTATTTACTTCAGGATGAATGGTAATCTTTTGCATAGAGTAGAAAAGTGCTGAAGAGGAAAAGAGGGCTATGGGAAATAAAAGAAAAGCTCCTGAGGAAATGGAAAAGCTACCGTGAGGACTTGAGGTGAGCACATACATAATCACTTTCAGGTACAAAGCTGCACATAATTCTGTGCTGCCCAGGCCCAGTAAGGGGCTCCCTTCTCACTGTTGTGGTTGGCATAAATGGGTTTGGTTTCTCATCAGAGCTTACTTAGAAACTTAGCCCCTAAAATGATACAGAACATTGTAAGTAAAAAGATAAATCCCACAATCTATGGTAATGTCAAGTGTTCGTACTGTAAGGAAGAAACTGTATTTTATCCCTACCTTAGAAACCAAGGTCTACCCATATGGCTTCACAGATTGGAGGAATTTTATCTCAGTCCTCACCCAAGAATCTTCCTGCCCTGAATTGCTATTTAATCCCCCTTGCCACTTTAAAGTAGAAACAGTACTGCTTTTTATTGGTACCTTACAATGTTTTTATATGAGGCACCTAAATCTTTCCCATAGATACTGATCATAGCTGTAAAAGGTTTCATTATTATTTGTAGGTAGATGCTAATTTTTCCTTTTATATTTTCACCAAGAAACAGTTAAGAAGGTTTTTTATTAATATTTATGGTCCTTGTTCTTCTGATCTGTGACAAACTGCAAAAAAGGTAAGATTCTAAGCATGTCTAATGCATAAAAATCCTCTACCTGTGATTTAGGGGTGGTCACACTTCCCAGGGGTGAGTGTCTCTGCTTGGTTATTGCCTCTGCTGACCCTTAGGGAGACCCTGTCCATAGGTTATTTCTCATTAGTGATGTTTACAACATAAGTCCAACAGATTTTTGGGCAGTGAAAGATGATGCTTTGTACTTCAAAGGCAGTGGTGTCATCAGGAGACTGGCAGGAGGGAACACGGCCAGGAAATGCAAGCCCAAAACCTAACAGGCTCCCCGGTCCTGTGTGAGGCTGGGGAGGCAGGCAGGGTGAGAGCCAGGACTGGGGACCTGCTGGCCTCTGGGAGCCAGAGCCTGCGTACTTACCTCGGGGCTGGAGAAGTGGGGGGGCTTGCTGCCCTCGCTCTCGCTGGAGCTGCTCTCAGTCTCGGAGTCAGATCCTGAGCTGCTCTCTGAGTCACTGGAGGAGCTGCTGCTGCTGCTGCTGCTGCCGCTGCTGCTGCCCTTGCTGGACGGGGGCACAGAGCCTCTGCAGTTGGTCTGCTGGACCACGGTGCTGCCAGCCCACCAGGCCCCCAGGGAAGGAAGGGAAGGAAAGCCAAGTGAACAAACAGGAAACACCAGCAAGCTGCCATGCCCGAAAAGGAAAGGGGAGGCACAAGTCTGCACGCCTGTCAAGTGGAACCTGGATTCAAGAGCAACCATCAAGGTCAAAGACAGCTGGATGGTTACATAGAATTAGACCCATAAGTAAAATTGAGAATGAAAGTTGGTGCCCCTTGATAGCTGGACACTGTTAAACGCATGGTCACTTTAGAAGGGAAGGTGGTGTAATACACCAGTAGCCATTTCTATGTTGCTGCAGTTCTGGGAATGACTTTTCAAATGTATCCCTGACTACCATTATCCACACAACTGTGAGAAAACCCAAAATGCTTGAAATGTTTTGCAAAGCATCTAAATGACTGTTTGCTTTATGTTTTCCACAGAGGAAAATGTAAATGGCAAGGATAAGGAAGAGGGCTGTCAGGAAGGGGCTTGAGCTTCCATGACCTGCTGGAAGGTTCCACAAAATTGGGGATTGTCAAAGTTAAAATCTTGCTTTCTTTTCTTTTCTTTTCTGCCTGTATAGTCAAATGCTGTAGTCATATGGAATGCAAACAATAGAGACCGTTTTAATCCTCTACTGAAGGATTGAGGATCTTTGCCGGACATACATTTATATATTCCAGGCTTTAAAATTCAACCCCAGTGCAGTGGCTTACAGAAATAGCATTTCAAATTTACACACATGCTGAAATTTGACACAAAGTCCTTACGCACTCAAACACAACAGGAAAAATTAGTCGATGCTTTCTGATGGTAATTCATTAACCACAAAAATTCAAATAGCACATATCCACCCAAAGAATGTTAAGTCAAAAAGAAAATTTCGGTACTCACATAATATTCAACATCTCCCAAGTCCTTTATTAATGGAATTGAAACACACCTGGATATGTCCTTTTGAGGTCAAGCTCTAAACCCAGAAAATTCTGGTCACTTTTATGCTGAGTCAGTAAAAATCTGTTTGCCACTTCCAACTGTGACCACTGCTTGTCACAAGTGGACATTAGTGAAGGCTAGGGGCTGGGAGCTTGTTAGGATTTACCGTTTCAAGTATGAAGCATGTGGACAAGCTAAAGAACCCTTTCACCCATCCAGTAAATGTTTTGCCCAAGAATCAACTCTCATAAATCCCAGGTGCTGGGGCTGGGAGGCGAGCAATACTCATCGGAGTCCTTTTTTCTCCTGTAAAAGCCACATGACAAGAAATAATCTTGTAGGGAATCTGGCAATAAAAACACCTTTTTGAATGGCAGGGTTAGGGGAAACTAGAGTTTGAACATAACTTTCCCTAGTGATTTTCATTTCTTTCCACCAATGTCATGGTCCATACCCACTGTCTGCCAAAATTCTTCAACATCAGACAACATCTGCAAGTTCATGCCTTGTCAGAGCTGTGGTGATTTTGTTTCCATCATATCATTTGTGTCTGGTATTGGGGTAGGAATTCAGGGTCCTGAGACAGATGAAGGGAAGGGATAGTTCATGCTCAAGGGACTGTGATAATTCTTTTTTATGAATGAAAATTCATCTTCCTGTTGGCTGAATGGAGATGGTTACTAGCAATGGAATTATAAAAAAGTAAAAAGAGACTATTGGATTCAACCAAACATGAACATGTGGGACCCATGTTTAATAGTTTGCTGGTTAGGGCCCCCAAAATACTGGGAGGAAAAACATAGAAAACAAAGAAAAGCAAAACAACACTTCCTGTGAAAAGGTTGGTTGGGACAGATATGGAGGAAAGAGATATGTGTCCCTACTATACTCTGGGAAGACTGAGAAATGAAGATAAGTAAATAAACATGTTGATTAGTCTTATAAAATGATTGTTCAGTCCATTCTGGAATTCATGCAGCAAAGAACATGCGATGCTTGCTCTGTGTGAACCTGGGCTTTGTGTGTACAGCAGAGGCAGCCATGTGTGTGGAATTCCTTGTGGCCTGAAGTACAAAGTGAATGTCTTTTGAAAAGCAGCACTTTGATTTCTGGGAGAATGTCCATTAAGCAGTTAATGTGTTGCTTTCCTTTAATGATTGTTGTTTTATAGTAATGAGATTCCCCAGTCCAAGAAGTCAGAATCTCTGATCTGAATTACATTGGCAGAAAAGCCTTATACTCCTATGTTTTTCTTTGTTAAATTAGGAAACTGACTCAAAATGACAGCTTTACTGCCTAACTATTATTTGTTTTTAAAGCAGCTGAGAGAGTCAAGAATTTACATTTTTCTTCATGGTTTGCTTTAGAAGGGTTGAGAAGCTCATGATGCCTCTGGGGTCAGGATTAGACATATAGACAGCCCTTGATTTATGATGGGCATTTAAGATTTTTTCAACTTTACGATGTTATAAAGGCAAAATGCATTCAGTAGAAACTGTGTGCTGAATTTTGAATTTTGATGTTTTCCCAGGCCTGTGTTATACAATCTGGTCCTCGCTGGGCTGTGGCAGTGAGCCATAGCTCCCAGTTAGTCATGCAGTCAAGAGGGGAAACAGCCGAGACTCTACAGTGTCCTGAGATGTTTGTAGGCTAGGTGGATTAAACGCTTTTTCAATTTACTGTGTTTTCAACTTATGATAGGTTTATCTGGATATAGCCCCTTTGTAAGTTGTCTTTCTTGTTTCACTGTGGTTACAGAGCATGAAGCTAGAAAAGACCCTTATCAAAGATGAGGCAGGCTTGCTTGAAAGGACTCTGCTGGCCAGCTGTGAGATCAAGAGAGCCATCCATTTATCTCCACATCCATGAAGGCAGTGCCACTAATGAGTTTTTATGTGGGTCCTTGGAGACAGCCCATCATCATGGTCTTCATACACTGACTGCTCTGACCCTGAGGGTATACAGCTGCTTTGCTCTTGCAAGGGCAGCTGTAGCAAGGGAGAACAGCAGAGTAAGGAGGAGGAAGCCGCAATGGTCAGCACTGCAGAAGAGTACTAAAAGAAGGGGGTAGGGGCTCAGACAGGCCAGGATGGCTCTTTGGAGTCACAGACTCCAGAAGATAGAAAAACATACATCAGAAAGACCTCTCTGAAGGAGACTTTAGGCTTTATATATTTCATAAACATGGTGCCAGTGCTCTAAAGATAAAAATGTGATTTAGATCATAGAATAAAAGTGTTTGTGTCAGCTGGGTAGGGACACCTATAATTTTAGCATTTAGGAGGCTGAGGCAGGAAGATCTCAAGTTTGAAGACAGCCTGGGCTACACAGAGTTCCGGGACAGCCTGAGCTATATTGTGAGACCTTGTTTGAGTCCCCCTTGTCCCAAAAAACCCACACCAAAAATAAATAAATAAATAAATAAAAATAAACAAACAACAACAAAAAACCCCCAAACAAAAGTCTTTGTGTTTTCAAAGCTTCACACAGTGCTTGGCACATGACAGATATTCACATATGATTACTGAATAAAAAAAAATTGGGAAAAATCCATCACTGAGTTAATGAGTCTTAACAAAGGAGGCCCAACTTTTCAAAATGGTTATAATCCTTCTTTTCTAAAAAAAAATATGTGAGGGGACTTTAGCACCTCTTGCTAAATATCTTCCAATGTTAACACTTCTTCCTTTCAGAGAATATTTCTTTAAATGTACTCTGAATTCTAGCTGCTACAATTTGAGCACAGTTCCATCATGATAGTTTATATTTTGTATTGTGATTCCATGAACTCCTTTGCTGCTTTTTGGAGTGGCCAGGACTCTTCAAATACACCTTAGAGAGTAGTCCAGATTTTTTTTTGAAGTTCTACTTGCCATGACCCTTCCTTTGGCTGTAATGATACATTCCCTTCAGAATCTGGCCCAGGCTAAGTCTGAATATAGACCATAAAAGAAAAGATCTGGAATCACAACAACAAATCCTAGATCTCACAGCCTAGGTGCTCCTGCCTGCCAAGTGTATTGTGGGGCCTGGATAAATATCTTAAGTGTCCACAAGCTTTCCAGTGACAAGTGACTTGGGGATGGCCTCAGCTTGGCTGGCACCGTGGGGAAGCTGTGCTGCCCAGCTAGCTGCAAGCATGCCTTTGGTTCTGCCTGAAGGACAGTACTTAGCTCCTAACTCAACACTGTACGAACTCAAGAGATGCTCCATTTCCAAACCATCATCAGTGCCTGGCAGCAGTATTCCTTCCTTGCTATCAAATGATCTAAAACCAGGACCACACTGCAAAAGCTGGGCTGAGTAGGCTCACTGTGATAGAATTATCTTCCCAAAAGCTCTATACTAGCATGTTTTTGTTGGCCTGCCATGCCTCTAGGAACAAGTAATTTCTCCAGTTAGCGTGGCATTGGAAGTTCCTCACAGCTGGGCCCCATTTAAGTCTCCAGTCTCACCCCAATGGATCCATCCCTGAACCTTGGCCATAATATTTCTTACCATCATGATGGGCTATGTCCCATTAGAGCTGGGGGCATTGCATCTGCAACTTTCTGTGCCAGAGTCTGTCTCCCTTTCTTCTGACCACTGTTACCATCTATTCACTCTCCAGGACTCAGCTGCAATGTTACCCTATTCTGGCAAGTTCTCCCCAATTTTCCCAGACATATTGATGTCTCTTCCTTTGAGTTCCTCTCACATATTGACCATTTTGCCATTGTAGCCCTTCCCATATTAAGGATAGGAATCATCTGATTTACCGATGTAATATATTCCCAGAGCCAGCAGAGAGTCTGGTGTAAATAGATTCTCAATTAATGTAGACTGAACATGAATAAAAGAAAATGGCTCTTGAGATGGTGTGTAAGTCAATGGATTTTCATGAACTGGCCCAAGAGATGATTACATATACGCAAACAGGTATTTTTTCTGCTGCCTTGGGAATGCCTAGGGTTTAACAAACTATTAACCTTAGAAAGCTACCATCTATAATAACAGGTTGCAAGTTGAAAACCTCCAGGGGCCGGCAAAGTAGCACAAATGAGTGAAATGTCTGGGGAGCCTAACATGCTG